AAGGGGAACAGACAAGTTGCTGTCCTTTGGTTCTTCAGTCTAGTTGTGGAGGACATCGCTTCACTGGCCCATGTTGGTATTATGATCATTGCGCTCTTCCCGGGTGAGGCAGTCGGCCTCCAGCCATTGGACGGCCGCTCACGCTGGCTGCCGCCCACTCACGGTAGCTCACAGCAGCCCACTACAGCAGGGGCTGCAGCCTATGCCATCGCCAGCGGCTCACTGCAGCCCAGCTCCAGGTAGAGCTGTTGTTCATCATCTTAGCTGTAGAGGGCAGTGTCACTGGCCCATGTGGGACCTGAACCATTGGCCCTGCTGCTCAGAGCTCGTGCTCCCAAGCCAATTCTTAACCAATGAGCCACTTGGCCAGCCCCCAACCTTCTTACCAACCTATCTAGAACCATCCACTCTTTTGTAGTGCTTGTTTTCTGTGCTCCTTTAGGGCAAGGATTTTGCCTTAGTCATCATTGTATTCTCAATACCTAGAATAGTGCTGATCATTCATAGGTTTTATCCATCAACTGATATTTATTGTGTTCAGTAAATACAGAATAAGTGAATAAATTATTATTCAATAAATGAATAAATCCATGACATCGCTCTTATCATTTTAAATGTTTGGTTTTTTTCTCACATGAATCTTATGTTTAAGACATTCCCTGGGCTGGCTGAGTGGCTCAGTTGGTTAGGAGCTTGCCCAAGAGTGCGAGTTCTGAGCAACAGGGTTGCCGGATCAATTCCCACATGGGCCAGTGACACTACGCCCTGAGCTGAGCTGCTGCTGAGCTGCCAACAGGTGGCAGGATGGTTCAGCTGGTGAGAGTATGTGCTCCTAACAACAAGGCTGCCAGTTTGAATGGTGGGCTATGCCCACCCGCAACTAAAGACTGAACTTGGCACCTTGAGCTGACCTGCCTCCTGGGTGGCTCAGGGAATAGAGCGTGCACTCTTAATAACAAGGCTGCTGGTTCGACTCCCTCATGGGATGGCAGCTACGCCCAACCACAACTAATTAAACACAGCACCTTGAGCTGAGCTGTGCGACTGGACTTGGAGCTGAGCTTGCTGCGCCCTCCACAACTAAGATTGAAGGACAACAACTTGGCTGTTCCCGTTCCCCAATTCCCCAACACTGTTCCCCTCCCCCAATTCTCCAATTAAAAAAATCTAAAAAACAAAAAAACAAAAAAACATTTCCACTCATTGTTCTCTGACTGCATATGTACCTTGCCACCTCTGTAATTTTGCTCACACAATTTTTCCAGTTTGTAACACCTTTCTCTCTTCTCTGATAATCGAAGACCTACATTTCATGTAAGACAAAGCCCAAATATTGGGTTGTTGGAAAAGTCATGACGTATTTTTCTGTTTTTCATTGCAAAAATGCATCGTGACTTTTCCGACAACCCAATAGTATCTTCAATGTGTTTCTCAATTACCCAAGGCTTGAGTGACCTACTCTCTCATCTTGTATGATGTTTATATTTGTACCTATTTAGCACACAACATTTTACATACATTTTCTTTTAAAGTAATGCCCTGTCTTCCCAATTAGAATTTAAATCTTTTAAATTCAGGAATCCTGCTTTATGTCTGTTTTTATTTCCAATACCTAATCTAATACTAGAAGGTCTCAATAAATATTTATTAGTTTCTAAGGATGGTTAGATTTTTAGCATTGATATAATATATCATAAAAAGTGTGGGGCTCTCTTTAAACTTAATTCAGATAATAATTGAATAATTAAGCTGTTAAAATTTGAGAGTAATATTTCCATCAAATTTAATTCTAATATATATATCTGTATATACATTTACCAGAATACACATAGAACCACAATTACATCTAGTTGTTGTGCTGTGTTGATGTTCTACGGCTCATTTTTCAAAGGCAAATATTATAGTGCATTTCAGGACACCTGTGTTCACGGGATCAGTTCTTTGAAACTATATTTGGATGTACAAGCTATTAAAAGCTTCTTGTACCAAGTGACCTTTCAAGCAGAATTTAGATCGAATACTCATCCGGGTGCTGCCTGTTGCTGAGTGGAAGACAGCGGAAAACCTGGGATTCAAACCTCTATTGGGTTTTTGTTTTACTTGTTTTGTTTTCTTTTGTTTTGCCTTAAGAAGATGAACAATGAAACCACAACCCTGATATCCTTGAAGGAGGCCATGAAAAGGTTGCTAAGGGCTGCAGGGAGGGAGCAAGCATAGGTCTGCTTTTCTGGGAAGGTGGGTAAGAGAAGAACAAGGAGTAAAAATAGGCAAAGAACCACAGACGTGCCAATTAGGATCCTATCTCTGTTAAAGTGGTTTAAGTCTTTCAGGTTTAAAAAAATATGTAAATTAATAAAGAAAAACTTACTCCCAAGTGCTATAATTCCATTCAATTAATACATGTGCTATATGGTAGGTATAAAAAAATAAGTAAAATGTGCTTTCTGCCCTCAAGAAACTCACAACCTTTAAGAATAACAAAAGTATTCAAAAATACTTACCATTTAATGTGATTGACCTTATAATGTTGATGTTCCTAAAGGGCTATGAGAACATGAAGAGAGGATCAATTAATTTAGCCTTTGACACTAAGAAAAAGAACTCCTCATAGAGAAGCATTTAAGCTAGATCTTAAAGTGTGAGTAAGAGTTTATAAGAAAGAAAAACATAGGAAGGAACTCCAGGCCAAGGAAACAGTACAGGTAAGCCATACAAGCATGGAATTGCATATTGTATTCAGTCACCAGCTGGATGTCTCATGTGATTGGTTACTAGGCCATGAAAAGAGTGGCAGAAGATGGGAGCAAAGGGTAAAGGACTTCATCTTTATTGCTGAGAAGATCCAACTTGGCTCTAAATATCACTGAGCAAGTCAGGGTGGCATAAAAGGCATATAATGAGTTACATGATCGGAATTGTGTTTCAGGAGCATATTTCTGGAGGATGGAATGGAGGTGGCAGAAATTGAAAGCAGGGATCCAGTTAGGCTAATGTAATCCTAGGTCCAGGAAAGATGGTGATTAACTGGTTTAGTGGAGATAAAGAAGAGGCAATAGAGACATTAATGGGAAGAAAAAAAGTAAGTATTCTGAGATTTCTAATTCAAGCAATTGAATAGATGGTGGTGTCATTAACTGAGTTGTGGAATTGTAGTAGAAAACAGACTCAGATTTGCAGACATGTTGTTTAGAATTTCTTTGGAATGGTCTGGGAATGCCTTTTGGTAAGAGGACTCCAAAAAACTGCTGCAATTGTAAACTTTTATACTGGTTGACAAGCTGAAACTCCTGTCTAAAGTTCAAGCTAGACATGACCTAGAAGTAATATATAGTCTTAAAAAAGGTCTAAAATTTAATACAAACAGTATGCCAGATAACATGGTTTTAATGTATAGACAGAGATTGCTGGCATATTAAGTCATGCAGGCTCACACTCCTACAAAACGCACATTTCATGCTGACCATTATCTATATGTAAATGAGAAAATTCCACTGTAGTAATTTCAGAAGACGGGAGTGGGGGGGTGGTTAGTAGGTCAGTTGAGTTTGACATCCCATCCAGGTAGGGGTGTACAAAACATAGTTGAAGATACAGGTCTAGAGCTTAAGAGAGAGGTGGTAACTGAAGCTGAATTAGCCTTGAAAGAAAGGTCAAGGATAGAACCTGGGCAACCACAACAGTATTCAGGTCACTGGGAACATAGAAGTTCAGGGAAGTGGTGTGTGTTTATCATTTCCTTCATGAAAGACAATGTGGGTGGCTTCAGGCAAGTGAGTTGTGTTGTTGTTATAGTTCTTTGTAGTTCAGGGAGACACAATTCCAGTGCCACAGCGCCCTCTAATGATTAAGACTGTTCAGAGATCCTCAAATCCTCTTGTTGGGTTACACAGCTCACCTTCTCATCCACATTACAGATTTCAATCATATAAGACATTGTATTACTTCTGTGTAAGGCCTTTGCTAGGTGTTGGGGAACAGGGATAAAGATGGTCAAGAAATAGTCTCTGATTCCCCTCCCTACAAGAGCTTACGTTTTTTCATGAAAAGCTAACTCTAAACATAAAGCAGGAGGTGAGGAGTGTCAGGTGATAGAGGCAGTCCCTGTGAGAATGAAGTAACCAGGGAGGAGATCTTCAGGTAGAAAGGCTGGGGGATTCAAGCAGGCACTGGGAGTTGAGCTTATCTTTGAAGGAAGGTTAGGATTTGGACAGTCAGAATAGAGTAGAAAAAGCCAGCTTATTAAATACTGGTTCCAGCACTAGCTAGCTATATGACATTAGGTCTCAATCTTTTGAGACTCAATTTCTTTATTTGTAAAATAGTAAAAATGTCTGCTTCACTTTTTATGGTGGTTGTCAGACTCAAAAGTAATGCTTGTATAAAATACTTTTTTTAAAGTATAAAGTACTATACGAAGATAAGATATGGCAGATGTAATTAGACAATTCAAAAGTTTGACAACATAAGGAATGCAAGAACTAGGATGATGGCTAGGGAGAATGGCAAGTGGGAGCATCTGTTCATAATCTTAAATTTAAATAGCTACCCAAATTTGGTAGTGGTTGCAAACAATATATTATAGTCTTACCTTAAGGCAACATCTTAATTTTGTCCCCTGACCTAAACTAACCCTTGATTCTTTTATTCGATAGAGTAGACCACAAACTCAAAGCTTTAGAAGCACAGTTTAAAGAATTGGACTTCACCAAAGATAATCTGACACAGAAATTTGAACTTCATAGCAAGACATTGGCAAGCCAAGCAGCCCAAGATGAGCTGTGGACAGCAGTTCTGGCACTCAAGTGAGTATCCAATGAAAATTCAGTGGAATTCTGTGGCATTATGAGAGCTTGCAATGGTCATTCTAAAATTGAATGTCTTAATATGTTTTCAACAATGGATTGTGAAGAAATCACATATGTTTAGGTTCCTTCATTAAAATAGATTCATTTGAGTGCCTGTTTATATGCCAGACACTGTGGTACTCATCTCATCACAGTCTCTTGCTTGCCAAAGTCTTACTAACACAGAGATGGATAATATAACTCCTCTGCCATTGAGAAAATTATAGTATGGGTGGCTGGAGAACTAAGATGTCTGGTTTAGCATAGGTCTTATTTCTAAAGTAAGTATTTTCTAAAACACAATAGCTGGTTCTCCTAGTGGGTTTGTACTTCTCTGAGTTATCCTAATAGATTTCACTTTATATTTGAACATAAAATGTCCTACTGCTTAAGGAGCTCTCCCCATTTTTTTGTAGGTTCACCTCAATGGAATTGAATATTTTATACAGCTACGTCATTGAAGTACTCATCTGCTTGCACACTCAGGTGCTTGAGAAGCTTCCAGACCTGGTGAGAGGTCTTCCCACCTTAGCCTCTGTCCTTAGACGAAAAGTGAAGAACAAGTGCATTAGAGTTGCATGGGAGTCTGTCCTAGATGAGTGTGGGCTGCAAGAAGGCGATATCACAGCACTTTGTACCTTCTTTATTGCGCATGGTAACAAGGCAGAACACTACAGTGCTAAAGTGAGGCAGATGTACATCAGGGATGTCACTTTCATGATCACCAACATGATAAAGAACCAGGGTCTGCAGGATGGTTTGCTGAGGGCTATTCAGGTCATTGAGAAGGGGAAAGCAGTGGGGGCCCCTGAAGAGCAAAAGCCATCCCTAAAAGAGTTGATGCCATCAGTCAAAAACTAACCTGTTACCCTATGACCTAGTGATTCCACTTTCAGTAATTTATCTTGAAAATGGGAAAAAATATGTATATACAATTTTGTTATGGGCTTATTTTTATAGCAAAAGTGAGGGCAGTGTTAGAGAAGTTATGATAAATGGATAAAGTGGATACTTTTTGTGTAGCATATAAGAGTGTGAAGATGCTCTTTGTGTTATTGTATAATGATATGGAGTTATCACTAAGATGTGTTGTTTTAAAATATTTATTTCCAATATATATTGTTAAGTGGAAAAAAGGACAAAAACAAATACAAATATACACACATTTAAGCTAATATATCCATAACTTTATAAACTTCTAGAGAGATACATAAGAAAGTGATAACATTGATTGTTTTAGGGAAGAAAACTAAGAGGCTAGACAGTGAAAGATAGGAGGAAATCTTTTCACTGTTAATCCATCTTGTACATTTTGAATTTTGAATCTGTGAATGTATTATCTATTAAAAGACAAAACAATTAAAAATACCTAATATATATTGTATGTTGATGTACATTTTCTCTCTAGTACAGTACCACAGGTATTTATACTAGAATAGGAATTTGCACATATTGACCATACATTTATGGTATTTATTGAACACCAAATGCCATGTGTTAGGTGCTGTGAATAACAGAAACATTAAAAAATGTGGATCCTGTCCTCCAGGTAAAGTGTAAGTGCTGATGCTTTATTTAGAGGTACAAATTCAGGACAGCCAGAATGAGGCAACACTCTGGAAGGATGTTAGGTAGAGAAGGATAAAAAATAATACAAGTTGATATGTAATCTTGTTGGCCCCTCCTTGAAAATGAGCCACGAGAGACACGGAAGTTGCTTGGCAGATACATCCACTCAGTCTGATCCTTCTCCAGGGACACTGTTTGGAGAAGCCATGCCTTGGAAGGAAGAAGGAAAGGGAATTTCTCTGTCATGCTCACTCAGTCCACTGTTTTCAATTGGCCAAAGTTTGCTCCGTTGGGAATAACACCTTATATTTACAGAATGCATCATTTAAGCCTTCCCAGCAACCATTGGAAAGTCAGAGCCTACTTTGTTCAGTGCAGTGTTTCACAGGAGTCCAAAAGTGGTAGGAGAAGCCAGCGATTCCAGGCATGCAACTGGTCAGCCTCAGGCAGACCAAGGGATGGTAGGTCCAGAAAGTAAACAAGGCCAATGAGGAAGCATATACATTAATACCTTGATTTGCAACCATAATTTGTTCTGGAATCAAACTACTTGTATTACAAGACATCACTCATTTACCAAGTTAAAAATGTATTATTAGATGTATTAGATGAATACATTAAATGTATTCTGCCAAGTAATGGCAGAAACCGCTATTACTTTTGCACAAACCTAATAGAAATGTTTGCTCGTGTTGCAGAACACTTGCAAACCAAGCTACTCGCAATCCAAGGTTTTACTGTACTCATAAAATGTATCCATTACAGAAGACATAAGTACCTTAAAATAGAAATCAAAATGCAAGAGTTAAATAATAAGACCACAATAAAAATGACTATCACTAGGAGGTATACAATTGGATGAGTTCAGAGGAGAGGTATTGTTGCTGTTGCAAGGCCTGTCTGTTTGACGTATCAAATATTTAATATCCAGTAGATCAGAGTTTGGAATAAGGAAAAGCTTTATTTATTGAAATGGCACCATAATGAGAAGATAGAAGATTTCTATTGAGTTGTCACAAAAGTCATGGTGCATTTTTGCAACGAAAAACATAGAAAAAATACATCATAACTTTTCCGACAACCCAATAGCTTTGTCAAATTCATCTTAAGACAAAGCAAATCAAGATATGGTGAAACAAAAGGATCAAGACAAATGAGATCTAATACTAGTGACAGTTTAATGTCTACTGTGTTTTATACAGTATCTTTTTGTTCACTTTGGAAATTTTTACTAAAAATTGCAAAAATATAAAGTATTGTGTAAAGATGTAACGTTTTTTGAAACTTGAAATGCATTCATAAATAGGCTCGATGAAATAAATTTTTACAAATCCATCTTCAGAGAGCCCAGAATTCAGGCTTTTTTTACATCAAGGGAAGGGAAAATGGGTGGGGCAAGAGGTGGGATCCAAGGAAGAGCAGAAATCTCCAAATCTCTTTGTTCCCAGTTAGTTCTTGACTCCTGCCGATCTGAGTCCTGTCCTGAGATTACTGTAAATCTTTGATAAACAGCCATGGCTTTGCATATCTTTTCCCACTTATTCAGGAGGTTGTTTTTGCAGAATTCCTCTAGTTAATTAGCATATCTACAATAGGAGATATTTTCCTGAAGGCCCTAGGAGAAATGCACACTAAAATTTATGGTAAGCAGCAGAGGGGAGAGAAACAGAAGAAGCATTCTGTTGTTATAGTATCACTGTCTGATGGAGAAATACTTATTCGAGAAGTGCACTGAGTTGGTCCTTTAAGTAGGCAAAGTCACAAATCAACTCATTTAGGATGAATTGAGGAATGACCTGAAAGCACAAGATGACATAAAGTAGATCATAGTTGAATGTTTCAAAGAACAATGGAAGATTCCATGGAAAAACCAGGTTGGACCATATTAGGGAGCAGAAACTCTGGGCTAAGGAATTGATACTATGGACAACTGGATGGCAACCAAAGGTTTCTGAACGCACAATAAAATAAAACAAAGCTCTTTACCACAGACCAACACATACTTGTTTTGGTTCCATCTGGAAACCACTCATCTCCCCAACCTGAATGATCCCAGCAAACCCAAAAGAACTTAGACTATTTTCATGCACAGTGGTTTTCTTTTCTCTTCCTATGGTTAATTTCCTTAAAAAAACCCTCAGAGCTGGTTCTCCCCCCACCACCATTTTTTTATTGTGGTAAAAATACACATACAACTTACCATCTTAACCATTTTCAAGTAAACAGTTCAGTGGTATTAAATGCATTCGTAATGTTGTACAACCATCACCACCATCTCTCTCTAGAATGTATGAAACTGAAACTCTATATCCATTAAATAATAACTCTCCCAGCCCCTGGCAAACACTATTCTACTTTCTGTCTCTATGAGATATCAATGTAAAAATGTCCAAATCTGTAGAGAATTTTTATAAGAGTTTATTTGAGCCAAACTGATTACATATGTCAGGGAGCAAGATCTCATATGCTTCAGAGAGTAAGTTTTGCAGCTTTTTTAATGCATTTGAAATTAAGGAGGGACCATAAGGAAGATTACAGGAAGGTGGGAGAAAGCAAGGCAGGGATTGGACTACAGGATAGTTGACAAGATTCTGTGCTCTCTTGAGAGTGGTTATGGTATATTTCAAAGATATGATGCACAGAAACAGTGGACATTGCTTGCTTAAGACAAAGATAAACTTTTTATTAAAAAGTTATATGCCTGGGGTGTAACTACCCACCACCACCTGCCAGTTAGGGAGTTATGATTAGATCACCTTGTGAAATTACTTTCAATAGAATCCCTTTTTTGGTCCATAAAGGCTTGGTTCTCAAGTACTAAGGATCAGCCTATATTTAATCCTCCACTTTCCTAACCAAAATATGTATTTTTCATAGGACTCAATTCAGTAGGATCAGCTCTCAGTAGGATCAGTACAAAAACTTAATACCAATTGGAAAAACTTATTTCAAAATGCGTAAAATGTTAAACTATTTTCTTTTTGGCCTCCTTGTAATTTTGATGGTTCTAGATTGAAATTTAATAATAAAGTACTATCAATACATTGTAAATGATGCACACGACTGCTGAGCTTCGAGGTGGAGGCAGACGGGAGGTTTCTCAAGCCCTTAGGAGGGAAGGCAATCCTAAAACAACCTATCTCTGGGCCGCAGACTTAAGAAGGGGCTGGACTATAGAAGGAAGTGTTAAGTGCATTTATAAATTGTACCCGTTTGCAGATTCTCTGACCACAACCTTTCTTGGAGATTAACCTTGGAGATGCTTTACTAAGAACTTCGGGGGAGCGACCTAAGAGGCTTAGTTACAAATTAAGAGAAACAGAAAAGTAGTTTTAGTACTCAGAGGAGAATTTTTTAAATTACTACTTGGTATTTAAAATTTGTTTGGTTTCCCTTTTCTAACCACAGGCCAAATATCGCGACACTCCCAGGTTTCCGCAGCCCCACGGAGCAGAAAGAGCAAGGGACGCACAGATTCTACCCAAGCTAAGGCAAGAGAGGCTGCGACGCGAGAGCTAGACCCTCCCTAGGCCATGTGACGGAATTGGTGGCGCGCGGAGCATCCAGAAGTCCCACCCAGCCCAACGTTATTGGTCTTTGCCCATGGGCGGTTTCCTGGGAGGGCGGGGCAGTTTTGGCGGGCAATTGTGACGTCATTAGTCCCGATCCGGTTGCTCCGGCAACACCACAAAGATTAAGCTTTTTGACTGATCCAAGAAAGGATAGGGGCGGCTTCAGAACGCCAGGAAACGACGTGAGACGCCCAAAAGCTGGGACGCTGGGGTTCGTGTGCTGCCCCTACACCAACGGAAAAGCAGAAGTCAGCTCCACTGGAGCCAAGCGTCCGGGCGGAAGCAGCGTCTTTCCCGGAGCAGTGTTTTGGCGGGTGTGTGCCTCGGCAGCCTCCGGCTTGGCAGCCGAGGGAGCATCTTCATCTGGTAAGAGGGAGGAGGGGAACTTGGCGCATACCTCCTTCCGCGCCAGGGAACCGGAACCCACCGTCCGCACTGCCGAAAAGGTTCTCTTAATGCATCGGGGCAGCCAAGGTTTCCCGACGGAAACCTTTCTTATCCTGCGTTTGTCCTAAACGTGGACAGATTGCATCAACTTCAAGGGTAGTACTGTTTACCTGACGCGCGGAGCGCCTTTTGCTTCAAGACGTGTTTGATGTTTCCAATCTCTGAATTCTGGTACGCTGTTGGGCATAATTTTCAACACAAAACAGTTAATTTGCTTTCTCCGTAGTTGGGCCGGATATACTATTCTTTGTTTTTCGGGTGTTGATGTTGAATATGCCTTTTTAGCATATTAAAATGGCTGTGCCTAAAGACGCCATCCCTTCCTTGTCGGATTGCCAATGCGGGATCTGCGTGGAAATCTTGATCGAGCCGGTAACGCTGCCTTGTAATCACACGCTCTGTAAAGCATGCTTCCAATCGACTGTCGAAAAGGCGAATTTATGTTGTCCCTTCTGTCGCCGCCGGGTCTCTTCGTGGACCCGGTACCATACCCGAAGAAATTCTCTTATCGATAGCGAACTGTGGGAGATAATTCAAAAACACTATCCAAACGAATGCAAGCTTAAAACATCTGGGCAAGAATCAGAAGAAATCGGTGAGTAAAACCCAGCGTGTTTTTTGGCTAAAAAACCCAAAATCCTTTAAAAAACGAATCACTGCTAATCCATTTTTTCAAAAGATAAAAAGGAAAGCCCTCCTAGTATCTGTCTAAATAATTCACAGAGGGTTGGGTTCTATGGGCCCCAAAGTCAGTGGCAAGATTTTAGTCATTGTTATAATGCCCAAGGTGTGTTCAGTTGGTGTTTGTTGGGTTAAAAATGGGAAAAAAAACCACCAAAAAACCCTGACAGAAATCGCCAGTGTAGAGTCTTCATTCTTATGAAAAGTTGTATAAATATTCACAGATGAGCAGTAATGGTATAGAACAGCAACAGCTGAAATAAGGAAACTACTAGATTCCTGTGTTAATATTTCTTTTACTTTCAATTACTTTCTCTAACTTACTTGCTTAGATATATCTATCTTAAGCCTGCAAGGAGCCTAAACTAGCTTTCTGAGACCAGTTCCTTTTGGTTAAGTCATTTTTATTCAAAACCCCTACATCCCACCCCTACACACACACACACCCCCCCCAGGGTGGACTGGGCAGCTGATTCAGTATGCCCTAAAGGAGCACTTGACTCTAGTAGCTTGATCCACTTATATGATCAGTAAGCCATGCAGTGTGTCTTAAATGTAGTGGTGTCTGCTCTGGTGTACTTGCCTTTTTTTGGTTGGCATTATTTTTATTGTAGTAAATACATATAACAAAATTTGCTGTTTTAATCATTTTTAACAGTAGTTACCTTTTATTAAAACCGCTTTATTGCCTTCACCAGAAAGCCAATCTGTGTGAGAGCTCCCATATGGATTTTGGGTCCAGTGATGCCAATATCATGTTTTTTTTTTTTTCAAGAAAACCCAGAAATCTAGAAGTCCATATTTTGAATCCTACCAGAAAAAACTGAAATTCTTTTGAACTACAGACCAGAGAAAACACAGCTGTAGATCACCAGTTTACCCTCACTGCCTTGAAAGAATAGATTAGTTCAAACAAGTTCACTGTTACAAAATTAGAGATGTAGTCTACAGGAAAAACATTCAGTAATGCTCTTCCCTATGTAAAGCATGTATAGAGAATAGAACCTAAACTGTAAGAATAGTTTGCATTTTTCATCAATAAATTTGTTGCATTCCCAAGAAAAAAAAAACGTTTCATTGAGATACTCACATACAATTGATCCATTTAAAGGGTTCATTCAGTTCAGTTGTTTTGGTATTTTACATTATTTTTACAAAACTGCAATAAAATACATATGACAAAATTTGCCATTTTAACCATTTTTAAGTGTACAATTCAGTGGCAGTGGCATTCATTGCATTCACAATGTTATGCAAATTTCACCACCAGTTGTTTAAAAAACTGTTTCATCACCCCAAAATTTTTAATGATTAAGCAATGATTCCCCATTCTTCTGTCCCCACTTTCTTCTCTCCCCCTTTTCTAATCTTTCTGTCTATGAATTTGCTTATTCTAGACAGTTCATATGTGTGTTCATATACAATATGTGATCTATTGTGTCTGCCTAAACTTAGCATAATGTTTCCAAGATTCATGCATGTTGTAGCATATATCAGGACTTTATTCCTTTTTAGAACTGCGTAATATTCTATTTTATGGATATATTTTATCTGTCCTTTCATCTACCTACCGATGGACATTTGGGTGGTTTCTACCTCTTGGCTATTTGAAGTCCTCCTTTGTGTCTTTATGAGCATTTAAGAAACGATGTGCATAGAAAACGCCTGAGAAATGGGGAAATGTTTCATCCTCCATCGTGACAAAGCTCCATGTCATACATCACATCTGGTATTGCAATTTCTGTCAAAAAAAACATTACGGTGTGTCCTCATCTACCTTATTCACTGGTTCTGGCACCGTGCACTTCTGGCTCTTCCTCAAAGTCAAAATGACCAGGAAAGGTAAACGTTTTGAATCGATTCAGGACATCGAGGCAGCCACAACAGCCCAACTAAAGACACTCTCGAAAGAGGACTTCCAGAACTGCTTCAGAAAGTGGCAAGAACAATGGGATGTGTGTTTGAAGCTAGGGGGAGTATTTTGAGGGGGATTAATGGCAGTGTGTCTTTGACTCTAATAATTTTTTCAGTTTAAACATTCACTGTATTTTTTTATCATAACTCATACATTCGCATTGGTGTGAACCCATCACCATCTATCTCCAGATTTTTTCATCTTCCCAAACTAAAACTCTACCCATTAAACAATAACAATTAACATTTTACTATATTTGCTGTGTTACACATCTTTTCATCCATCAGTCTTATTTTTCATTTATTTCAATATTAGATCATTATTAGCTTATCATTTTCTTTAATGTACAAAGTCTGACAATTAAGTTCGTGAACTTGTTGCAATGATGTTGCTAACCTTTTTTGATATCAGAGGGATTATTCATTGTGAATTTGTACCAAGTGGACAAACAGTTAACCAAGTTTACTATTTGGAAGCGCTGAAAAGGCTGCATGAAAAAGTTAGACGCCCTGAATTTTTTGCCAACAATTCATGGCTCTTGCATCACGACAATGCATCAGTTCACACAGCATGGTCTGTGAGGGGGTTTTTAGCGAGTAAACAAATTACTGTATTGGAATATCCTCCCTACTCACCTGATCTGGCCTCCAATGACTTCTTTCTTTACCTAAAGATAAAGGAAATATTGAAAGGAAGACATTTTGATGACATTCAGGACATCAAGGGTAATACGATAACAGCTCTGATGGCCATTCCAGAAAAAGAATTCCAAAATTGCTTTGAAGGGTGGACTAGGTGCTGGCCTCAGTGTATAGCGTCCTAAGGGGAGCACTTCAAAGGTGACCATATTGATATTCAGCAATGAGGTATGTAGCACTTTTTCTAGGACAAGTTCGCAATCTTAATTGTCCGACCTCGTAAGATTCACATAAAATGAGATGCACAAATCTTAACTGTACTTTCACTGTGTTCACATACGTATAACCCTTTGTAACACAAACCCCTATAATACAGAACATCATCCCTGAAAGTCCCCTCATGTCCTTTCCAGTTAATTTCTACTCCCAACCCCCAAAAGTCGACCACTGTTTTTATTTTTTTGCACTGTGTATAAGTTTTGCCTGTTCTAGAACTTCATGTAAATGGAATTCTGTGCATTTTCCTCGGGTTGTCATAACAAGGTACCACCAACTAGGTAGTTTAAAATAACACAAAATTATTTTCTCAAAATTCTGAAGTCTATAAGCCCAAAATCAAGGTGTCAGCAGGGACATGTTCTCTTGAAGGCTCCAGGGGAGGATCTGTTCCATGTGTTTCTCTTAGCTCTTCTGGGTGTTGCTGACAGTTCATAGTGTTCTTGGCTTGCAACTGCATAATTCTAGTCTCTGCCTCCTTAGTCACATGGCCTTCTACCTGTATGTCTGTCTTTATACATGGCCATCTCTTCTCTGTGTCTCTTTCCTTTCTTACAAGGATACTACTGATATTGGATTAAGGGCCCATCCTACTCCAGTATGAACCTAACTTAATTACATCTACAACAACCCTGCTTCCAAATAAGATCACATTCCTGGGGTTGGGACTTCCACATTCAACCCATAACAGTAATCCTGCAGTGTGTATTCTTTTGTACAAGGTTCTTCTACTAAGTATAAAGTTCAAGATCCATCCTTGTGTTGCGGGTATTTCAGTTTATTTCTTTTTATTTTTAAGTATCATTCTACTGGTTGACTATATTATACTTTGTTGGCTGTTCTCTAGTTAATGGTGCTTCCAGCTTTTGGTTATGAATAAAGCTGCTGTTAAGATTGTTTTGAAGTGTTTTTGTGGTCATATGTTTTCATTTTTAATTGGGTAAATAATGAGTGGAATTGTTCAGTCATATGTTTGGTTATATAAGAAGCTACCAGATCATTTTCCAAAGTGGTTGTATTATTTTCTTATCCCAGCAGCAATGTCAGTTGACCCTTGAACAATGTGAGTTTGAAATGCATGAGTCCACTTTTTTTTTTTTAAATAGTTTATTGTGGTGACAATGGTTAGTAAAGTTACGTAGGTTTCAAGTGTACAATTCTGTAATACATCCATCTATGTATCACATTGTGTGTTCACCACTCAGAGTCAGTTCTCCTTCTGTCACCATATATTTGGTCCCATTTACCCTCATCTACCACCCCCGTTCCCCCTTACTCTCTGGTAACCACTAAACTATTGTGTCTATGAGTTTTTGTTTCTTTATTTGTTTGTCTTGTTCCTGTGTTGCTTTCTGTTTTATATCCCACATATCAGTGAAATCATATGGTTCTTGACTTTTCTGTCTGACTTATTTCACTTAGCAATAGTGATCTCAAAATCCATCCATGTGTTGCAAATGGCACTATTTCATCTTTTCTTATGACAGAATAGTATTCCATTGTGTATATATACCAAAACTTCTTTATCTAATCATCTATCTTAATTGGGTTGTTTTTTGGGGGTTTTTTTTTGCTGTTGTTGGTGTTCTTTATATATTCTTGATATTAATCCCTCATCAGATGTATGATTTGCAAATACTCTGTTCTCATTCTTGGGTTGTCTCTTTACTTTCTTAATGTCTTGGCTATTTTTATTTTTATACTTTATTTAGTGAGCATTTTTAATAATTAAAAAAACTTCAAACTTTCCCTTTGCAGTTGTCTATAGTTGTTTACTATTTAACCCCCACCCCCGGACGCGCGCGCGCGCGCATACACACACACACACACACACACACACACACACACAATTTCACTTGAGAACTATAATAGTTAGGAACATTCTAAGCCAGGGGCTGGCAAACTGGGGTCCACAGGCCAAATTTGGCCCACATCTTTTTTTGTAAATGAAGCTTTACTGGAACACGCACTACACTCATCTATGTCCATGACTGCTTTTGTGCTACAATGACAGAGTTGAGTGACTGCAACAGACACCACAGAACCTACAAAACATAAAGTATTTATTATCTTGCCCTTTACGGGAAAAGTTTGCCCATAAGCTGTCACATCTGATATTACACAACCTCTCAGCACATGCTTTATCCTCCTTTGTTAGAAGTAGAAATGCTGTCCCTCCTGTCTTCCTGGACGTTTTTCTTAGCCCCCCTATTTTTTCGGAGGCCTTATACTTCTCTCCTGTATTTTACATTGTATTGTCTCAAATGGAGCCTCAACGGCTAAAATAAATAAGAATTTAGTATATTTTAGCCCTACTTGTTACGGAGTTACATCACTGTGTTTAGTTCTTCTATTGCAGAATTTGCAAACTACTGACATGCAGGAGGCCTTATAAAGCCTGCAGACATGTTTTCTATTTAGTGTCAGACTTTAAAGTTGGGAGATTTTACATTAAAATATGGATTTCTGGATTGCCTTGAAAATAACAAAAAATATGGCAATGACAGACCTAAGATTCCTGATGGCAGTAGTCACTTGGACTTCAGTAATAGCTGCCCCTTTAAACAGGAAGTTGTGTTCCCTTTTTCTGGATTTAGCTCCAGGGTGACTTTTCCCCTCTTATTATAGTTTAGTGTTTCTCTGTACTGCTGTAGATTTGTTTCAAATGTCTGGTGATCCTTAGTTTTACTTTCCTATTTAAAAATGAGTCCCTAGAAAAAAGCTCTGTGTACATGGACAGGCATTAGTGACTGGCAGACATTGTTTGAGGTTAAGCAGACGGAAACCTGGCCATTATGCTTTGCCACCCCTAACTGCCAGATTTCAGAGTGCTTTTGCTCTGGGTCACTTCGTCTTAGATGCACTGGGTCTACTCAGACAATTCAGTTTCTTTAAAAAATAACCTTTGAATGTGCATATGTGCATTTACATTTCCAGGAAGAAACGCCTACCAGCCAAGTATTCTAATTTATCAGTTTATAACTTTTGAGTTCTCTGTCCCACACTTACTCACTATGGACTGTATTGTGCTTTGCGTTTCTGAGCCTGAGCTGCTCTTCAGGTATATGGGGCAGATCCCCTTCCACTTCTGCTGTAGCTTTCCCTTCCAAGAGCTACTTTTTCCTTCATTTTGCTACACCATTCACCTCTCTTACATTGGCTTCCCATTTTCTAGAAATTTGTTAAAGTTTCTTGTTTTTGATTGTCCCTTCCCCTAATCTCTTTGCTGTTGTAGGATTACTTTTTGTTTTTTAAATTCTTTTACTGTTATTTTAATGGATTTTAGAAAAAGAGTTTAAGTAATACATACTCATGTGTCATTTTGAACCAGAAAACCTCTGGCTTTTCTTTTAAAATGGAATTCCATAAAGAAGATATCGCTCTAGCTGTTAATAATTGTCATTTTATTTTAATTTTGCATTTTATATTAATAGTTTTAATGGAAGACCAAAGCTAGCCAAAAAATTCTGTGTTGCTTATTGTATATATATTTTTTTCTTGATCTGAAACAGTTGATGGTTATCAGCCAGTTCGCCTGTTAAGTAAACCTGGGGAATTGAGAAGAGAATATGAAGAGGAGATAAGCAAGGTAGGTACTAAATAATTATTCTTTTTTGGAAAAATTCTTTGATGTGTTTTCAGCTTTAGATTTTACATATAGTTTTTTCTGCTTATATAAATAGTATATATTGAAATGTAAACAATTTTAATGTACTTTATAAAGGCTACATTTTTTACACGTGTTTAAAATAGTTAAAAACTAGCTTTAGGGGCCGGCCGAGTGGCTCGTTGGTTAAGAGTTGGCTTGGGAGCGCCAGCTCTGAGCAGCAGGGTCACCGGTTGGGATCCCACATGCGGGCCAGTGACACAGCCTTCTGCAGCTAAGGTGGTGAACAACAGCTCAACCTGGAGCTGGGCTGCTGTGAGTCACCGGCAACAGCATAGGCTGCAGTGGGGCTGCAGTGAGCGGCTGTAAGCTACCTTGAGTGGCTGGCAGCCAGCATGGGCAGCCAGCAGCTGGCATGAGCAGCCATCCAATAGCCAGTGACCAAACTGCCTCACCCCGGAAGAGCGCAGTGATTACAATATCAACATGGGCCAGTGAAGTGACATCTTCCACAACTAGACTGAAGAACAAAAGGACAGCAACTTGTCTGTTCCCCTTCCCCAATTCCCCAACACTGTTCCATCCCCCCAATTCTCCAATAAAATCTTTAAAATAAATGAATATTAAAAATAAATAAAAATAAAATTAAAAAATCTAAAAAATAAATAAATAAAAAATAAAATATAGCTAATGTACAATATTATGTTAATTTAGATCTTCGCTAATTTCTATTAGCTGGCTTTATTGTCAGGCTAATACCAAGAAGGCTGCACAGTTCTGAACCTCAGTTTTCTCATGGGTTTGGCTCAAGGATTTATTCTTGAGTCAGATCCTTTGGAATTCTCAAGGGGTTCATATTTTTTTCAAGTAGTATATTTAAGTGGCCATAAGCATGGCCTTATATCCTAGAATCTGAGTTTGAGTCGCCATTCTGCCACTTACTGATCTAAAAAGGTTATTTGCTTTTCTATGTTTGTTTCCTCATTTGTAAATCATATAGTAACCACTGTGGTTGTTTCTTCTGCTCACTGTGTTTGGGGATTCATCCCAACTTCAGGGATAGACCCTTATTAGTCTAAGTCAGTTTTTACCATTACATTCCCTTTGCTAGGATTTGGTTCAGGAACCTAAACCTAATTTAGTCAGCACATGCTATTCTGTTAACTAAGGAAAAGGATTACCTAGAGACACGTCCACAAATGTGTGACAATTTAGTAGAAACTGTGATAAGGACTGTGATGCAAGGAGAGATGAGGGTTTGCTTAAGGTTTGATTGGGCCAATTGGGGAAAGCTTCCTGAAAGAGGCTTCTTGAACTATACTGTAGAAATTTTCCTCTCCAAATTTATACTTCATTTGAGATATTTTAATTCCTGCCAATTTGTTCTCTCTTTTTAAAAATTTTACTGTTCTTACTAAGAGATATTGCAACTATACTTAAAAGTTCAAAGAAGGATTGTTCTCTGTTAATCATTATTAAGGCGGAGGCAGAGAGGCGAGCTAATGAGGAAGAAGAAAACAAAGCCAGTGAAGTATACATACAGAAATTATTGGCAGAGGAGGAAGAGGAGGAAAAAAGAGAAGCCGAGAAAAGGAGAAGAGAGATGGAAGAACAGCTGAAAAGTGATGAAGAACTGGCAAGAAAGCTATGCTTTAATATTGTAAGTTTTAGGAGAGAACTTTGAAAGTGTTAACATTCCTATTGCTTTGACTAGGTGGTTTTCAGATTTAAAGAAGTGTTCACCATAACTAGAAGCTATTTCTGACATTTGCTTAAAACTCTTTTACATATTTTTGTAGCTTTTGTATATTGTTATATATGTTTTCTAATCACAGTATAATTTAAAAAACCTTTTTTATGTTATTAGTAAATTCAAATTATGTAGGAAAGCTATTCAGTGAAAATGAAAGCCCTGCCCCAACCGCTTCAGTCCCATTCTGTTCCATTACATCAGTTTCTTTCCCCAAAGTTTAGCACTGTTAACAATGTCTTATAACTATTTTTCTTAATTCACCTAAAAAGGATTTATCAATCACACTGTTTTTTCCTTTACTTTTTTCACTTGATATATCTTAGAGATTTTTTTGTAGTGCTACATGTAGTCTAATTCTTTTTAAGTGTGGCATAATAGTCCATTGTATAGATGAGAATCAATGTTAGAAAGTGAAGCATATTAAATTCTTAACGTATTAAACCTGGATTTTATTATCTTGCTTTAGTTAAATTATTGTCTAGAGGAAAACGAATAAAAGAATGGATGATAAAAACACATACTTTAAAGGGCGTTGGTTAGAGTGCGGTTCTCATAACACGAAGGTTGCCGGTTCGATCCCCACATGGGCCATTGTGAGCTGCGCTCTCCACAACTAGATTGAAACAACTACTTGACTTGGAGCTAATGGGTCCTGGAAAAACACACTTAAACCAAAAAAACAAACAAAAAAACTCCCACATACTTTAAGACCGAAGAATACAATAAGACCCAGTGATTTGAAAGAACCTGGCAGAATCACCTGGGATTCTTTTAAAATACAAACTCCCATGCCTGTTCTAAATCTACTGAATCAGAATCTCTGGGGATGGGATTTAGGGCATGCTCTTCCGAGAGGCATCTAGGAAGGTCTGATGTGCATTCAGGTTCGAGAGCCTCTGTTTTCAAACAAACAACAAATATCTTAAAATATACTTGCTAAAATGAAGTATGTCCAGAATTGGGATTTTTTTTTTCATTTTTGAGAGGCCTACCACTCATAATACTATACCCAAGTATTAAATTGTATACCCATATATAATATATATATATTTTAAGTAGAATAGCTTCATAAAAGTACACAATAGGAAATTAAAAGACATGGACCAATAGAATAATAACAAATGGGATAAGAAAGAAAATATATCAGAGAGAAAAATCTTTACCTGTCTTTTAAGAGTCTGTTCTAATCCTTGTCTTCACATGGGATTATAAGAGTAGATCTATTGATATTTTAGAATAATTTTTGGTTTACTTAGAAAAGTTTGGTGGTTCAAGGCAAAATGTCTGCCACCACCATTTATATTCATTTTTCCAATAGTATAGTAAACTTATGAGACTGTACAGCAAGTAAATATTCATGGTATTGGTATGCCCTTAAGTCCCCAAATTAAACTTATTTTTACATAAAACTAACTTTTATTCCAGGTATATCTATAGCTCTGAACTTTTCGCTATAATCTATATGAAACTATTCATTAGAAAAATTAACAGAAATGATCAGCTAATAAGATTAATATCATCATGGCTTTTGTGCTCTATAATGTAGAAAAAAATGCAATTAATTTAGACCAATTTGGATGGACTTAATCTTGTTTATATTAATTTTTACATGGTCAATATTATTCAAAGTGGATAGAATATAAATGTGAGCATAATTCCTGAAAAATTCTGTTGTGGAGTCTGAATTATTCAAATTAATAGCTTACTTTATATAATTATTTTTAATAATGTCTGTTATGCTTTTTCTGTTGTTAAAGAACAATTTCTGTGAGAGAAGTGTCTTGGCTTCTCCCGTGAATTCCAGAAAATCTGATCCAGTCACAACCAAGTCACAAAAGAAAAGTAACAAACGGATAAGTACTGGAGATATTCAGAGGTAAGTGAACATGACTTTATCAATTATTTATATTATTTATTGACCACCTACTGTATGCCAGTGTTTTTTGTTCATAGTCTACTGTCAAAATTTGGTCCATGAACTGCATGAAAACCCTCAGATGGTTTGAGATTGATGTAAACTGAAAGTAAGAGAGCTACTCACATAGCTTAGATTCCTGGCTAGCACGAACAAAGATGTTGAAGTCTTTTTATATCTTGATTGCTTAGGATTTCCATGTTGTTCCCATTTTCTCAAAATTAACAAGTTGGGTTTTCTTTTCTCTTGGTTTAGATTCAATTGAGAAAAGCTGGTCCCATATAAGGTCTTCCTCATTGTAGGAGTTTACAATTTGGCATCAAGGTCATTCACCCATCCTCCTTTTCTCAGTGTATGCATTATATTTTGTCTCTACAAAAAGCATGAGTCAGGTAGTTAGCAGTGAAGCGATGATTTAGCTTGCCCATAACGCCCCTCCAGCAAGTGGAGTTAATGACTTTATGAGGATATAAGCTTTCCCATGGTAATTCACAGTTGGAAAAGTTTAAGAACCATAATCTAGACTTCAAAAACATTCAAGGGCTTTTGGTTCAACTGGGTAAATATATGCAGGTAACTTCCTTCCAGAATTTATAGAAATTTTGGATTTGGGGTGCTGGAGATTTGGGACGGGTAGACTTAGATTTGGGGTGGGAGGGTAGAGTTAAATGAAGTGGTTGCTATTAAAGAAAAAAATAGATATGGCAATACCAATATTGTTAATGCTGATTTTTATGCAAAGTAGAAATCAAGAGAAAAACCATTAAAAGGAGAAAAGCAAAGATATTGCATAATAGTACAATATTCTGCTTAAAGGCTATAACTCATGAATCTTCATGTATCTAAATATATATTTTGAAATACATGAAAATAAATTACTAGAAATACAATGGACTGCATCTGATAAACTGAATTTTAATACATTGATGAATTTAAAAGCAGAAATTGAGAAGCTAGTGGTTTAAAATTAAAACAAAGTTAAAAAACATAATATAATCTTTAGACTATATAAAGTATTCTTATATAACTCAACAACAAAAGACAAACAACCCAATTTTAAAATGGACAAAGGACTTGAATAGACATTTTTCCAAAGATGTACAAATGGCCAATATGTACATTAAAAGATGCTCAACATCATTAGTCGTTAGTGAAATGTAAAAACCACAAGATACCACTTCACACCCACTAGGATGTCTATAATCCAAAAAAAGGGAAAAATAACAAATGTTAGCAAGGATGTGAAAAAACTGGAATCTCGGGCATTGCTGGTGGGACTGTACAAGTGTGTGGCCTCTGTGGAAAACAGTTTGGCAGTTACTCAGAAAGTTAAACACTCCTAGGTGTATACGCAAAAGAACTGAAAACAGGTATTCAAACAAATACTTGTACACAAATGTTTGTGTCAGCACATCAAATAGCCAAAAGGAAGAAACAACCCAAATATTCATTGAGGGATGAATGGATAAATAAAATGTATATCCATACATTGGAATATTATTCAGTCCTAAAAAGGAATGTCATGCTAATACATGCTGTAATATGGATGAACCTCAGAAACATGCTAAGTGAAAGAAGCCAGACACAACGGGTTATGTATTATATGATTTAATTTATATGAAATAGCTAGAATAGGTAAATCTATAGAAACAGAAAGCAGATTAGTAGTTGCCAGTGGCTGGGGAGAGGTAGGGATGGGGAGTAACTGCTTAATATATACAGGGTCTCCTTTGGGGATGATGAAAATGTTTTGGAACTAGAGGTGATGGTTGCACAATTTTACGAATGTAGTAAATGCCACTAAATTGTGCACTTTAAAATGGTTAATTTTATGTGATACGAATTTCACCTCAAATTTAAAATGATTAACAAGAAGATCACAAAAGTGTTTGAAAATTAAGGAAAACTACTAAGTAAGTCATTGGTTAAACAGTCTTTCCTTAAAATGTACTTACACTAAAAAAAAAACAAAATAAAAAACAGTTCACCCATTTCTCTCACATATCTCCCCATCCCCACCTTAGCAACCACCAGTCTGTTCTCTGTATCTACAAGTATGAGCTCCTTTTTTTTTTTAACCAGATTCCACATGTGAGAGAGATCATATGGTATTTGTCTTTCTGTGACTTATTTCATTTAGCATAATGCCCTCGAGGTTCATCCATGTTGTCACAAATGGCAAGATTTTATCCTTTTTTATGGCTTCAAATTTATAGTGAGTAAACATGTATTGCAAAGGGATAGACAAAATGATTGAGGCAAAGTGATAGTAGATAGCTTAGAAACACACCACAGTTTATGGAGCTTTTATGCTAGCTTTGGTGTTCTTAAAATATGTCCACAAATTCTTGGATATTCCTCTCTTCAAAAGGTGGAGCCTAATTTCCCTCCCCTTGAATGTGGGCTGGACTTAAGTATACAAACAGAATTACCAGAAGGAACGTTGTACATTTCAGAGACTAAGTTCTAAAAAGCACTGTGATTTTTATTTAATTTTATGGAAATTAAAATTACAGTGAGGTCATTTTTTATTATATACAAATATTGAATCATATTGTACACCTGAAACACAGTGTTGTATGTCAATTATACCTCAATAAAAACAACAAAATGACAGTGAAGTTAACATTTCATATTCACCCTACTGGAAAAATTTAACTGTCTGACTATATCAAGTGTTGTAGAGGGTAAGATGCACTTAATATGCTTGGGGAGAGCGTAAAAGCTTGACACTATAACTTTGCAGCATAGACTCTAAAGAAACCCCAGAAGACAAGTGCAGGAATGTTTCCAGCAATACTATTTGTAACAGTAAAGAGCTAGAAGCACTCATATTCCAAAAGTAGAATGGAATATTATCCAGCAGTGAAAATGAATTCTAGCTAAGGAAAACATGCATGATTCAGGAAAACGGGTGAAGAAAACAAGTTGTGGAAGAATACATGTAGTATGATTCCATATACATAAGTTTCAAAATCATGCAGTACTAAGAGATAAGGTGTTTAGGTGTATAGGTGTGTGATTAAACGTCTTAAAAACAAGAGAGAAATAACTCAGGATAGTGATCATCTCTAAGGTGGGGGACAACTGGGAGGCCCCATAAGGGATTTTAAAATCAATGATTTTTTTTTCCCCCTTTAAACCAGGTGGTAAGTATAAGGGTTTTCGTGATAATGTAAATGTTTAAAACTATTTTTTAAAGTATAACATACATACATTGAAGTGCATTAATCTTAAGTATACTTTTTACATTTTTACATTTATATAAACCATCCTCCAGATTAAGATAGAATATTTCCAAAAAGTTCACTCGTGCCCTTTCCCAGTCAGTATCCCCTCCCTGTAACCATGATGTATTGTGATTCTTACATATATTTTGTAACTATTCTCTTGTAAACTGTTTGTTTTCATGAGGTAGACCAATATATACTCTATTAGAAAGATTTTTTTTTTTTTTTTAGCTGAGCCATCCTGCCACCTGTTGGCAGCTCAGCAGCAGCTAAGCTCGGGCCAGTAATGGAACCGGCGATCCTGTTGCTCAGAGCTCAAACTCTTGAGCGAGCTCTTAACCAACTGAGCCACTTGGCCGGCCCTAGAAAGATATTTTCAGACATAAATGAAAAAATGAAATCACAGAAAAATATGATTTCTCTTAAAAAAAGATAGTATATACTATATAGAAACCATATATATTTTTTAAAAATTGGTTACATCTGAGGAAGTAAATAGGAATGGAAAGGGATGATGATATATATATGTCCTACATTTCTGTTTAGTTTTTTAGAATGAGCATGTATTCATATATTACTTGGTTATTATAAATAATAAAGACTATCCAGGAGAGTTCATAAATCTTCACTGATTATGTTGGGTAAGTATCTGATCACATTTTGTTTTGTTCTCTGCTTATGGATTTCAGGACAACTATTATGCTGTAATAATTCTATCTTGGTACTAATATACTGGGTAACTTTTGCAGAAGGGATTCATCAGCTTTGGGAAACAAAATGAGACTAAACCTGGAGTCCTGTTTTTTTAATCAGCTGAAAAAGTGGTTCTTGTTCTCAAAAGTTTGCAGACTGTTTAGGTTGATGTAACTAAACATGTGGGTTAGATACTCTAGGTTATCTACAATATGAGGGATATTCATTTGTTCTTTATATGAGATCTTTGTCTAGATTTTATTTTATTGTTCCATATACTACTCTCGTTGGTGCTTTGGGCACAATGGAATTTAGTTTTATATTTTACTTGCATTCAGACATTTTTTTCATTTTTCTTTAATTATAAAAGCTAGCTGCTCTTTGAAACAATCACCCAAAGTTACCACCACTTAAAGACAGCCAACATTTGGGAGATTTCTGCCATTTTTAAGCATACTTATATGTACATTTAGATTTTTTACTATTTTTAAAATACACCTACCATCTCATAACCTGTCCTTTTCTTCTCATTTCTTTTACAGCATTTTCCATTACATTACAAGCTTTATATTTTCAGTGTCAGCCTATTAAAAATACTTAGAAATTTAGAGATATGCTCTTATGCTATGTCTGTTTGTCTCTAAGCAGATAGTTAATATGAAATATGTATAGAACAAAAATCTCTATACCAAAATGGTAAAGAATCTAATCATGGACTTTCCCTAATAGTAGAGATAAAAAATGTAGAATTTCTGGCATCAAACAAAAACAAAACCTAACATGTCCTTTCTCCTGCTTTAAAATGTCATTTCCATTACCACTTCTGGTAAGACTCTGTAGTTGTAGTTGTTTTGATGCTACCTTTTTTCACTTTTTTGAGAATTAAGAAATGTTTAGATTTGACTTTTACTTCCTTTTCTGCTGTTTTACACTAAAATATCAATAGTTGGCCTTTTAAGTTTGGCTCTGGAGTTACACCAAAACATCTAAGACAAGGAGATAGAATATGCTTTTTCTGATAAATCAGCAAAGCCGCAAACCAGACAAGCTTCAGTATAAATAGTTAATCTGGCTTTATTTTATTGGGTATATACCACTAGTCTTTCAAAGCATTCAAACTTTGGTACACTTTTTTTTTTTTCAAGGTATTTGTCTCCTAAATCGCAGTTTGGGTCAGCATCACAGCCTGAAATTGTACAAGAAGGCAACAAAAACTCCATGTCTAAGGTATGTGGATGCTAAAGATGTTCTTAGTTTAGCACGTTTACTAGTGGTATAGGTTGCTAATACTTGTAGGTTCCTGACTTTTTTTTTAAGTCACTGTAGTATATGGGACACCCTTTCTTAGTCATCTTACTTAGGCTTACCTGGACTAGAAGTCAGCAAGCTTTTTCTCTAAAGGGCCAGATAGTAAATATTGTAGACTTTGAGGCCCATATGGTCTCAGTCACATAATGTTGTCATGTGAAAGCATCCATCGACAGTATATAAACAAATGAGCTTGTCTTTGTTCCGGTAAAACTATTTACAGAAACAGCAGGCCGAAGTTGGGCCATGGGCCATAGTTTGTGGATCCCTGATCCAGATAACCAAACTCACAAAACTGATAGGCTATCTCTGGTACCAGCTTCACTTAAAAGATTATAGGATGGGAAACAAAGCATGCTAGTAAGGGCAATATCAGGCATATCGTTCAGTAAGAGTCCTCACTGCAGAGCTCCTAAGTGATAGCCTGGAAATGATACCACAAAGAAGCCCCAGGCCCCATATGACTGAATTATTTATTGTAACAACCCATGGATGTAACTTCTAGGGGTCCTAGTAAAGAACATATCTGGTCAGAAGAGTTAGTTATAAGTCACTTACAGAAGCCCCAAGCTTTGACTTCCTGCCAGGTGTTCATAGATCACTCTTACTTCTCCTAGTACAGATGCAGTTCACCAATAAGTCATTTTTTACCATAAGCAATGTATATGGCCTAGTAACTAACACAGGTGACATTTCACCTTTATCAGGTTTCCAGATCTAGGAAAGGTGAGTTGTCACCAAGGTCTGTTTCCTACATAGAAGAAGTTTTGTTAACCCTTTACTAACAGGTTCCTAATTTTTTTCAATTCAGCTAGGTGGTTTTTATAGCACTTAATATTTAATGGATATTTGCTATGTGCCAGATAATGTATTTTCTTTAAATCTTCATCACAACCTCCAACTCTATAATGTAGGTATTCTTGTGCCCATTTTACAGTTGAGAAAATTGAGGCACATGGAGATAAGAGACTTGCCCAACATTCCTTTAGAGGCAGTAGAGAGAGGATTCAAGTCCAGATAGTCTGCTTATACTGGAACTGAGGATTGAAGGAAGAGGCATTGAAGGGCTGGGATATTTTTCCTACCCTATTGTTCATATTCATAGTAACCTAGAGTTTGTCCAATCCAAACCACAATGGTTCATAAGAAATGCTATCAGGGGGCAGTGGCTGCAGGTGGGGAGGGCGTGTGCCAGCCGAGAGTCCGCAGTGAGGGAAGGGAAAAACAAAGAAAAAGAAAAAAAGAAATGCTATCAGGAATGATAAATGCAAAGCAAAGAAAGTAAAAGAACAGACTTAATATCTCCAACAGCAAAGAATAATTTTTGTTCTGAGGAAATTCTCACTGAAGACTTTCTTCTTAAGGTTTTTCCCCATGGTCAAAACTAATCCTAAGTCTTGACTTCCCTAAGATCTATAAGTGAAAAGTATACTGGCTAAAGCAAGGGTCTCAACCCAAGGTTTATGGGTAGAATCCAGAGAATACATAGGAATTTACATGGAAGAAAAAGTTTATCTTTACTTTTGCCTGACCTCTCATTTTAGTGTTTCCTTTAATTATGAATGTAGACAACAACTTTTGACTTTGTCATCAATAAAAAGGGTGGGTTTTTATCACATTTGTTGCACATCTCTTGAAATATCATTTATACTCATTCCTATTTTAATATTACAAGTTGTTAGGCTTGCCATCAGATCTTAATAGATATACATTATATCATAATTTTTAACATTTTAGTAATTGTGTTGCAATATAAATTGTGATCCTGTGTATTTATATTTTAAAATATTATTCTCAGAAGAGGTCTGTAAGCTTCACCAAAATTCCAAAAGGAGGAGAATTTGTGGTACAAAAAGGGGTTTAAAACCCCAGGGTAGTAGAAGTTTATAAGGTGAAAAAGAGGTCAGGTCATGGTGCCAGCTATTGGCCATAATATAGAATCTGGTTTGTGGGTTTTAATCTGTAGGTTTTCGTGGAAGTAGAAATGAAGGAATGCCTTAATCTAAATGGGCACATAGCGGGTGGCCAGGTGGCTCAGTTGATTAGAGCGCAAGCTCTGAGCAACAGTGTTGCTGGTTCGATTCCCACATGGGCCAGTGAGCTGTGCCCTCCACAACTAGATTGAAGACAACGACTTGAGCTGAGCTGCCAGTGGGCAGCCAGATGGCTCAGTTGGTTAGAGCACGTGCTCTTAACAACAAGATTGCCGGTTCATCTCAGCAAGGGATGCTGAGCTGTGCCCTCCACAAATAAGATTGAAGGACAACAACTTGACTTGGAAGTGATGGGTCCTCAGAAAAACACTCTGTTCCCCAATAAAGTTAAAATAAAAAATGGGCACATAGAATGGAAATACTATTAAGAATATACCTTAGTAGTAGTAGTAGTAGTAGTAGTAGTAGTAGTAGTAGTAGTAATTAATAAATAACTACCTAATAGTGACAGCTCATCTATGGTATAAGTGAGACTTACAGGTTATGACTTGATGTGTACCCCAGGTTCACTCAGTCTTTTTCTGTTTTCTACAGGAAATTTACAGTAGTGCTATAAAGAGCCCCATGTGGCAAGACACAGAAATTGATGAAGATATGCCAACACTTTCTCCGCAAATATGCCTAGAAATTCAAGAACAAGGTGCAAAGTCTTCAGTAGAATCACCTATGCCTCCGTTATGTGTCCATGGTACAGAAATGTGCCTTGAAGGAGAAGTCAAAATGAGACCAAGCAGTCATGATAACGAGTTATGTGACATAAATCATGAGGGACCTAATGCCAGAGTTCACTACTCTAGAGAAGCTACATTTAAGCCTTGTGGCAAAACAGAGAGTGGGAGCACTATATCAGATATGACACAGATAATTGGAAATAACACAGTTGAGACAGAAAATGAAGAGTCTCATCTACTGATCAGTAAAGAAGATATTTCCAAAAGAAAAAACCAGGAATCATCCTCTGAAGTAGTCAGAGATCCATGCTTTTCTGCAAAAAGAAGGAAAGCATCCCCCAAAGCTTCCTCAGACCAAGAGGAAGCAGAAATCAACTTTACCCAAAAATTGTTAGATTTGGAACATCTACTTCTTGAGAGACATAAACAAGAAGAACAGGACAGGTTATTAGCATTACAGCTTCAAAAAGAGGTGGATAAAGAACAAATGAAGCCAAACCGGCAAAAAGGATCCCCAAATGGGTATCAGTTACGAACTATGTCCTCACCTCCAGACAAATTGCTAAATGGACAGAGGAAGAATTCCAAAGATAGGAACTTAAAAGGACAAAATGATACAGAGCATTCAAAATGTCAGAGAAGCTCAAAAAATGAAGATTGGCAACCTTCTTTTAAGACCCAGTTGACACGTTCAGTTAGTGTTAATGGAAGAAAGATGCCGAATTCTACCAGAGATAAAAGTGCTCGTTCCCAGCAGCCTAGTAAGTCACAGAAAAGCATTTTCCAGATGTTTCAGAAATACTCAAAGTAATGCATAGACAAAGGGAGCGTTTTATAATCTAGTAAATCTGGATTGTGAAGCTTTCTTTTTTACCATAGACTCTAAAGTTTTCATTAATTCTGCTCTGTGGGCATACTCATTGTCCTTAACTAAAGGATGATGTGATTACAAGGGTGGCATGAATATGCAACTGTGTTTCTGTCACACTCAGTGATAAGCTTGAGTCACGATCCTTTATTAATAACTGTGATGTGATAAGTTTGGCAATCCTTATACTTAACTGATATAAAAGTGCCTGGGCCAACTCCCAAGAAATCTTCAGGTGCCAGTCTCTTTTCCCCAAAAAATGCATTTTATGGCCTTTGCTCACCTTTTTGTCCTAACTAGTAAACAAAGCAAGATTATAATTATATATAGTTAAGGAATTCAGGTTTCAAATCTAAGTTTTCTTGCTACTTTGCCATATACTGTGTGGAGTACTTGAAATTCATCTTCCATAACACTAAAGTAATCTAATTTCCATTTTTAAAATTATTTTAAGCATTATAGCATCTTTTTAAAAATAGGTCGAGATCAACGTGAAATCTGAAAAATTAGAGTTTCCTGGAAAATTAGGGTTAAATTAGGAAACTAGACTCTTGATGCAAAAGGAGATAAGAGTTGGAATGAGGCTGAATGGAGCAGACCAATAACTTAGAAGCCCTGGAACTGAGTGGGTGATCAGAAACTGGGTCCAGGATGGAGTTAGCAGGTATAGTTTGGCAGAGCACTCATTCTCCCTTGCCCTTTTTTTGCTAAATGACATGAAGCATTTGGGTTTTATAGCTTTTCACACCATAGTATCTGGTGTCAAAATCAAAATTAGCTACTAAATTACCTGAAATTTTGGAAATTTCTATTAATCTGCTATTCTAGGGGAAATAAAAGGGAATTTACTGTAGGTTTATATCACAATATCCTACATAAATAACCATACTTTTACTTCCTTATATTATCATTTGTATTGGTAGTGACTTCTATTTGTGTTTATGGACAGAAATAGAAAGTATGATGCTTGGGTTTTGCCTTCTGTTACCCCTCAAAGTTAAATCAGAAGTAATGATTTCATTTTGTGAAATTTAACTTAGAGACTATTAATCTTTGTTTCATTAATATGAACAGCTTGGAGCACACAAACAACAGTTTTAACAGCATTTCTGCTGATGTCTTAATTACCTTCCCATCCTTTTAAGGTGAAAATACGATAAAATGTCCTAGAGCTAATTCTAGCTTAAATTTGTCAATATTTTTTCCTCCAAATTTTATAACTGAAATTCTGTTAATTTTTGTATACTTGATGGCATATATTTAAATATTGAGTGGGTAATTATTGGTAGAACTCTCTAATGCTAATTTAAAATTTAGTTTGCCCTTTCTCAAAATAAAGTGTCCTCTGAGTAAAGATTGAACTGAAATTAAGTGCAGTCAGAAACTAACCAAGTTTGTGTAAAATAGACTAAAATCTACCTTCTCATAAAACTGATATTTTTCTAAGAGCAATTTCACTTTAATTTTAGGGTAGACATTGTTGGAACTCCTCAAGTTAAAAGTTATGTAATTAAATCATGCTGGAATAGTCCATGACCAAAAAGGGGGGGAAATCATGTAATGTAGTTAGGATTTATATACTTAACCACTTAACTTGCCTGTGAAGAAGTCTTCCTGACTAAAGCTGGTTTTAAGATAAATTTCAATTTCTCTATTAGTCTTTCTGATAGTCGTACCATGTGTGCTTTTTTGTTAGAAACTAATAAATGATTTGTGTTAGTCATTACAATGTATTGCTACTTTGTCCTCTCATTTTGTGGAAGGTATATAAGTGTTTAATTTCTCAGGGAGTATTGGGACTGCAGAGGTTGAGAATCTGAAAATAAAAATATTAAAAATAAAAATGGGGTAACCGGTTAGCTCAGTTGGTTAGAGCGTGGTGCTGATAACACCAAGGTTGCTGGTTCGATTCCTGCATGGACCACTGTGAGCTGCGCTGTCCCTAAAAGAGTCAACTATGCCATTGTAGCATGAAAGCAATGTGTAACCAATGACCGTGGCTGTTCCCCAATAAAATTTTTTAAAAATAAATAATTGAAAAAGTGGACTATTATGTTTTTTACCACAATTTGAAAAAATAAAAATTAACTACATAAAAATAAAAAGTTCTGTATAACAAAAACTATAAAGGAAAACTGGAAGACATGGCAAACGGGAGGAAGAAAATAGACACACTTCATCACAAAGAGCTAATTTCCTTCATGTAAAGTGTTTGCCAGCCATTAAGAAAAAGACTAACAACCCAAAAGGAAAATTAGAAAAGTTTATGTTCTCAAACAGTTCCCAGGAAAGGAAATGTAAATGGCTCTTAAATACGTGAAAAGATGCTTAATATCGCTTATACCAATGCTAATATATTTCCCACCCTTCAGATTAGTAAAGACACAGGTGCTTTTTTGTTTGTTTTTGTGTATGTATGTGTGGGTTTTTTTTAAATCTTGGCAAGAGTGTGAGGACAAGCATTCTTTTATGTTGCATGGTATGCATAGAAACATTTAAATCCCTTTGGAGGTAAACTTGGCAATTCTATCTCTAGAAATTTCTTAAAGCTGTCTTCACATGTGTGTAGAATGACGTGTACAAAACATTTTTTGTATGGCGTTGTTCGTAATAACAAACTTAGAAATAAACTTAATGTCGCATTAATAGACAATAAATGAAGGTACAATGGAATACTATATATAGAAGTTTAAAAAACCCCACCACTTTACACAGATGAAAAGAACTATAAGATATAGAGTTAAATAAAAATACAAGATGTAGAATGGTATACTGTGCAATTATTTGTCTAAAAAGGGAAAACATGTATTTGCATAAAATGTCTAGAAAGAGAAACAATAAATGTTGGCAAGGAGAGAAAGTAGGTGGCTGTGAGATATAGTGAAAGAACGACTCCACTATATGTTCTTTTATACTTTTTGAATTTTCAGTCATACTGAATTTATCATCTCGGCAAAAAAAATTTAATGCTCTTAAAATATTGCAAAATAAAGGAAGCTTATACATCTCAGTGTGCACCATTCTAGATGGTCCTTTTTGTCTTTCAATTTTAAGAATCATAATTCAGGAAATTTTTTATTTTCAGCATAAAAAAAGCATTGTGAATTTTTTGAAATAGTATTGAGTGAATTTGAATTTATTTAGCTTTAATGTACTATTTCAAAATTATTTGAAAGCAAAATTTATGCTTTCCAGGTAGCATTGCAACATACTGCTGAGAACAATGAAATAACCAGATAAAAATGTAAAATTGTCTACTTAAATGCATCAGAGAGCTACTGAAACAATGAGGACTAGTTTAGGAGCTAAGATTCTAGAGAGGAGAGATTTAAGAGAGGTAAACTGAGGTTTGCAAACACATTTTGCTGGTAGCATGTGCCTATTCTGAATGCAGGATGAGAAACAGGGCTGCTGCTGGTGAACAGAGAAACGAGCAGAGTTCTTGTCCATCTTATGAACCTGAGTGACAATATTAGAGACTTGAGCGTCATGAGAACAGGAGGCTGGTTTTCCTGTCAGGATAATTGCAGTTTTGAAAGTCCTTAGGGCAAAATTTAAAAAGGCTGAAAACCGGGCCGGACAAGTGGCTCGTTGGGTAAGAGTTGGCTTGGGAGTGCCAGCTCTGAGCAGCAGGGCCGCCGGTTCAGATCCCACATGGGCCAGTGACGCTGCTCCCTCTACAGCTAAGACGGTGAACAACAGCTCGATCTCGAGCTGGGCTGCTGTGAGTCGCCGGCGACAGCGTAGGCTGCAGTAGGCCTCTGTGAGTGGCCATCCAATGGCTGGCAACCAGTCTGCTTCAGCTGGGAAGAGAGCAATGATCACAATACCAACATGGGCCAGTGAAATGACGTCTAGACTGTCCACAACTAGACTGAAGAACAAAAGGACAGCAACTTGTCTGTTCCCCTTCCCTTTATTCCCCAACGCTGTTACCTCCCCCAATTCCCCAATAAAATATTTTTTTAAAAAGGCTGAAAACCCCTGAAAAGCAAAGAGAGTTGTTACCAGGCTCACAGTGTTGATAAGACAAAAGAATAAAGTTCAGGACCTATCGAGGGAAGGAAGCCTGTTCCCCCAACAGGGTCTCAACTGAAAGCCCTAGAACAGGGGTCTGCAAACTACATTCCAGGGGCCAAATCTGTATGCCACCTATTATTGTGGGGCCTATAAGCTAAGAATAGCTTTAAATGGCTTTTAATTTCTCAATGGAAATCATAATGTAACCAACAGAGTTGCTATCAAGAGTTAAGTAATATATATGAAGTACCTGGCATAGGCCCTGACTCAAAAAAAGCCTTAATAAGTGGTCATTCCTTCTCCCTGGCTAGTCTCTACCCCTCTGCTCTGCCAGTCCCACTTTTGGAAGTGCCTCACTTCATCCAGTGCTTCGTGCTCCCGTACGTCTCCAGGTGTGGCACAAATAAATTGCAATCATCTTCTGTCTACTGATGAAGACTCCACACATCTCCCTTGCCAGATGTGTCCACAGCTCCCTGTGTCTCAGCCCCCCGAGGAAACCAAGTCCCAGAAATACTTCGGGGCTTCCTCAAAAAAAAATTTTTTTTTCAAATTTCTATATTAGTTCTACACATTTGGTATGCATAAAGGTGTGTAAAACACTAAGAACATATTAAAGAGACCGGGGACTTGAGCCATTGCTGTATGTTTACTTACTCTGGTCTAAAGATCTTAATAATCACGACTTTAAAGTTTGAGTCTGATTTTTTTTTCCAGAATATTTTACCTTGTCTTGATAGGACTTGAAGCAACCTGGACCCTGAGTTCAACTGAGGGAACCCTTCTCTTTACATTTTACTTCATATTTCTCTTTAACTTGGCTTTTATGCTCCTAGGCTGCCGCAGTTAGGCTCTATTCCTGAAACTATTCAGTTCACAAGGCTTTCTTTCAGTTGGGGATCATCCAGAAAAAGTTTGGGGGTGTCTGTTTTTTACTGCAGGTTAGACTGGCTGACCATGGACTATTGATTCCCAGGATCAGGATGAGAACCCCACTCCTTGCTCAGTTTATTCTAGACAAACGTAGATTATACTGGGTATACTGATTGGGGTCCAGTTAAGAAAACAAAAACCACAATAGGTATTTCAGCAGAGGGTATGCAGTACTATAAGGAAGTGGTTAGACAGGTGTTGGAGCAAAAAGGAACATGGCGATAACCCAAAGATGATAACTGAGGAAGTGGCTACCACCCTCAAAGCTGGGAAACAGATGGGAAGGGTTTTGGTTACTAGAATGAGGAGCTCAGGAGGTGGGGTTCAGACCTGGTGTTCAGACCTGTGAAAAGGAAGCACCTCCCAGGTTCTGCTGGTGCTATGAAAGGTCCTAGTGAATCTAGTTCCAGAAGAGTTGAAGGAATTTGGAAGCTGAAGTCAACTGCCACTACTGGAGCAACTGACAGGAATAGAAAAAAAAAATAGCTTTTCCCCTTTTCCTCCTAGTGCCTCTTATTAGAAATTCATAGGAAGCTTGCTGACAAAGGAGTCTGGGAGAGTCTGGGAAAGTGTTTTTTTTTTTTTTTTATCACAGCAGAGTTTACAATGGCAGGCTTGGACCTGAGAGACCAAGCAGGGTAGGGGGAGAAACACACCAGGGAGGTTTTCCTTTCATGTACTCTAGGACTAAGATGTCTTGAAATTTCTAAGGCAAAAACCTGGAAAGCTATTCTGACAAGATGGAGTAATGTGTGTGGGAAAATGGTGCTTAAACACAAATGTCAAGGAGAGAGAAAATCTCATTAAGGATCTATGGGAGAAAATTGTCGAGAACCTTCCCAAGTACCTGCAGAAAGCCCTCCCAATTGTTCAGTTTCTTTTGCCCTGATTATACCCTAGTGTCCCCATCTTGATCAGAGCTGATGATTCAGGCTTGTGTTTGCCACCCCATACGCAGACGAACAATCACCTAAAGCCACCTTTGTCCTGAGTCCCTACAAGCTTTCCAATTCCCCACCAACAGGGATGACAAAAACCCCTTTCTGAAATTTCAGGTATCATCACTAAATCCCCAGAGCTCCTAGGAGGGTACATCCCAGAAATAATAGAACACCAGGATAAGATTTACAGGAGGGTATTTGAGTAATTGAAATAGATCATAATGAAGTAACTCCAGAGTAAGCCTAGATTGCTATAAAAGAGAAAGATGACACAGGAATTGTGTAATAATTTTAGCAAGAGACACTGAGACAATACTAATTTGGTTTTAACATGTAAGAGAATCTTTCCACTGCCAAAGAGCTTGAAGTGCTGTAATTTATACAACTGTGTTCTAAATTGATTGGATTGAAAACTATGTTAAAAAATCTCAGGATCTTAAGAATGATTGCTTGGAAAAGCACCTTGTGAACAAACAAACAAATTTACTTGATTCCTTCTACGGGTAAATGCTTAGAAACTTACAGTTAAAGCTTTTACTTTGTATAAAACTAAAATTACATGAATTTGGTTTATTTTTAGAAGAAAAAATGCCTTTGTGCCGACAAGAACAGGTCAGAAACTAAAAATTAGATAAAAGGCCTAATTACCTAAGACTTATGTCTGTAGGGGGTAAGCAGTGGCAATTTTAATATTGCATAATAGCAAAAGCAACCAAAACTATGAAAGCTGAACCAAGAGGATACCCTCCTGTAAGGACTAAATCAAGGCTCCCGTCTAGTTGAATTCTGCCCAAAGGAGCCCTAGCAGGAAATTAGAGAGGAGAGTAGATTGAAGTGTTTATCCCCTTGACTCCTCTGCAGGATGATCCAAGTCTAGCTGGCTGGCTATGCCCCCAACTGAAAGTCATATCTCCTGTAAGGTAGTGTTCTCCACACAGGCTCTCTTTCCAGGTTCTGGTAACTGCTTCCTCCTCTCCACCCCTCTGATCTAGAAGTGGTAACAGCTCTCTGGCATTGCTACACAGAACCATCTTGTGCTTTCCCTACACCATGCCCATGCCTTTGTAAATAATCCCTCTTCTCAAATTATCCAGTTTAACTGGGCCATCTATTTTTTACCAGGCCCCTGACTGGTACTGTTAGCTAGACGGCAAAGCATAACATATTAAAAGACATGGAAATGTTCCATATCTTGAAAACTTATTGAACAGTACATTTAAATTAGATGCATTTTTATTTTATGTAAATTATACCTCAAAAAGTTGATTTTCTAAAAATTATTCCATGAAATCTGTCACCTATGCCTTTTGGTTCCCATAGGTCACTCAACAATCCTTTGCATAGTTCCCATATCACGAGACCACTGCCTACTTGCTCCCCTGTGTCTCAAGAGCTCCCCGAACCATGAGAAAAATACTTAACAGGGAGAAAAAAAAAAGACAAACCTCCATGGTTTGCTCAAGTTATTATGCTAGTTTCATATATTTGTTCTGGTATGTTTTTAAAAGTTTGTAATCTTAAGGTGCTAAGAGAATTGAACCTGAGCTATATGTGTGCTTCTCCTACTTCTTCCTGTCTGTAGATCTTAGTAAATGCCTGGGTTTGGGATTAAGATGCTCTTATGAATCACTTAGGGCTCTAATTCTGACACTAACCTTGGTAAAATGTGTCAAGAGCCTCAAGCTATTCAATTTCATTCATCTGCTCTAAATTAGGTCTTGTTTGGGGACAACTCTAAAGTTCCAACTAATCAAAACTTAAATATGACTGCCTAAAGGTATGAGATGATAATATTGCCAAGGGTTAACGTTTATCAAAAACTGTGGGCTAGGCACTATGCTATGTGCTTAACATCTCATTTAATCCTTTCAACAACTCGATGAGGTAGACACTATTATTACACCTATTTTATACATGAAGGAAACTGAAACTCAAAGAGATTCAGTAATTTTCTCAAGGTCAGATAGCAAGAATGAGGCAGAGTCAGGATTTGAACACAGGGCTATATGACTCTAAAGAATGAACTCAGTTTCTTTGGATAAATACCCAGGAAAAAAAAAATTCAGACCCATTATTCTATTCAAAAAGGAAATAAGCCAGGATATGATTTATAAAGAAAAAAAAAGAGATTGGGTGCAGTTCTAGACACCTAATAAGGAGACGGTATACCCCATTTTATAAGAGGAAGAACCTGAGACCAGTGTAGTAGATACTCCCTAAGGGGATTCTGACAGTAAGTGGATTTGAATCAAGACTGGAGTCTAAGGCCCATGTTCTTTCAAGCAAAATGTGCTGCTTTGTTAAATATAAATTATATAAAATAAATATAGGGATTAAATGTATTTCTCTAAAACCTGAAATTATAAATCATATTTATATCTGGTGACTAAAGCTGAGAGAGGGTAAGATTTCCTATCTTAGAGAGGAAAAGAGAGATGGGTCTGGGCAAGCTTGCAGACACAGTGAATGGTAGATAGAGAAGAATATGCTACAGGGAAGGAGAAGAAACGCCAGAGAGATAGGAGGAAAATCAGCAGGTGTGGTACCATGGAAGCCCAGTGCTATTTCTAAACAGGAGGGAGTAAGCAAATGCCAAATTCTATTGAAAAGTCAGTTGAGATAAAGACTGAAAAATGTCTATAGGAATTATCATATTTCCCCATGTATAAGACGCACACTTTTCCGAAAAATTTGGGGTCTAAAAATTGTGTGCGTCTTATACAGTGGTTGTAGATTTTTTTTTACTTGCATTTCCCGCTTTTTTCGCGCTTGTTTTTGCGCTCATACAACCACTGTATAAGACGCACCCAGTTTTTAGACCCCAAATTTTTCGGAAAAGGGTGCATCTTATACATGGGGAAATATGGTAGCAACTTGAGGTCTCAGGTGACCCCAGTAAAAGTGGATTGGGTGCAGTGTGAGCAAAAAGCAGATTGAAGTGGGTTCTGAAGTGAGTGGGAGGGAAAACCTTGGAGATGGTTGTATAAGCAACAATGTAGAAAAGTTTGGTTTTGAAGGGAGGTAGAGAGAGATTAGGGTGTAGCTATTGTGGGAAGGGGAGAAAGCCTGGGCATGTTTAAGTGTCAGTAGAGAGGGTCCAGTGGAGAAGGAACGTTTTCATACTCACACCCAAGCAAAAGAAGGGATAGGTCTTACATAGTAGGAAAGATGGCTTTTCTGTTGTGAGAGGGAAAGAGGGAACAGGATGAGTGGAGTTTCGTGTAGATTTGCGGGTTCAGTGGCCACAGGTCAAGGAAGTTCTTTCCTCATGACTCGTTTTCCCATTCTCAGTTGAGAGTGAGTAGGGAGTGTGGCTTTACAAGGTTTGGGGAGACAGAAACATCTCTTCACCTCTGTGGATTCCCTTGGTTTTACCTGCCTCTTATTCCAGCCACTGCTACAGCAACCAGTTCTGCCTGGGCTCTGAACAGCTTCATGTGGTTGCCACCACATAGCTCCTGACCTCGAGCCTGTGCCCGCTGTCAGGTCTAGGATTTGATTTTACTCTACTTACAGGCTTGGAAGTTAGCCTATTTTTGTTCCATGGATGCTGGCAGAAGACCTGAGATTCCTGGGTCAGAAAAAGGAACTTTATCATTCATGGTACAACAGGCAGCATGAGTATCATTTTCACATCCATTCTTGCCAAGGGGAAGAGACAAGAGAACTTGTTCTTGAACATCTACGGAGGATGCAAAAAAAAAACATATACACATTTTAGGAAAGGCAAAAACTATATTAAAATTTTAATAATATATACCAATAACAAAAGATGAATACAAGTCATGTGTATACATTTTTTTGGCACCCCCAGTATAAGAATCTCCTTGGAAGACAAGTTTGGAGGCTGAGGTTCTGTGTGAATAAATGAGGGGTGACCTACCAGCAAAACATTGGGTAAGTGCTAATGTGAGTTCATTTCCACCCACAGGTTGATAAGGACTGGAACACTCAGGTTACACTTACAAATGCCTATAGATAGTGTATGGTGAGATGGCAAGGCTAGGGTTCTAGAATCAGGTAGCTATGGATTCAAATTTTGCTTCTAGCTGTGTAGTCCTAACCTCTCTCCGTGTTTCCTCAACTGTAAAACAGAGACAATCAAATCTTCCTCTGAGAGTTGTTGAGAAGATGAAATGATACAGCGTATGTATGGCAGAATAAGTTTTTGAAATATTAACCAATATTTTACCCTGTCCTTGCATTATTTGGTCCTTCCCACAGTTAGTCAGCTGGGCTGTTTGACATTTGTTGCTTCAGGAAAAGTTCACCTAGGAAAAAGCAGAAGAAAAAGAAGTTAGTTCTAGACTTTTGAGTCTCAAAATCTAGCCCCCAGAGAGAACTCAACACAAGAACAATAGATTTATAAGAATATCTGAAAGGGATCAGAATATGCCACCCCAAAATAGGCCACTTGATATAAAGATTATTTTAAACTGAAGACATTTGAGATTCAACATATGCGGAAAAATAGCCTTCTTGGAGCTTCCCTTGATACTAAAAGCTACAACATCTAGGAAATAAAGCTGCCACGAATTCCTTTTCAGGGCAGAGCTACTCCCAGAAGGGAGAACATGAATAAAATCTACCTCAAATTCCTTGTCCAGGGAAATTTTATGGCCCTGAAGGAGCTAGAAAGATCACTCATACCTGTATAGACAAACATTAATACAACTTTATTTCCTGAAAACCCAAAAAAGTTTTATCTTTTCAAAAAGTCATTTATTTTCCTGTCAGTGCCTTCCTCCCCACTCCCCTTTACCTACTAAGATGGTAACCATATAAGCCCCGAATTCTAACCTTTCCTTTGAGTTTCTTATCACTGAGTTCCCTGCATGTGTTTGCATTGCATATATAAATAAACTCTGATTTTTTCTTCTATTAACCTGTCTTCTGTCAGTTTAATTTTCATGGCTCCAGCAACTGAATTAGGAGGGGAGAGAAAAAAGATTTTTTCCTCCCTACATGGGTAAGAGAGGCTTGCCTGATCTCAGACCAAATAAAGAATCTTTGGGCTGGTAGAGGGGGAGGGGAAGCATTACAAGTTCAGGTGTAATATATGTCCCTAGAGAGGAAGACTCTGTGCTCCAGACCCCTGTCTGTCTCAGAAAGATGTCCTAAGACAATATAGAAACAGAGCAAAGAACCTTTAACAACCTTAGAGCTTCCCTTGCCCCACTGTGGGCTGGGAGCAGTAGAGCATGTCCTGTGTGCTTGAGGGTGACACAGACATGTAGCCCAGGGAGCTTTTGGGCCCAAAGGAATCCTGCATATAGAAACCAGGGAGAGCCCCATGGGGGCCACTAAGCACTAGATAGGCTGTGCTTATATCTCAAAGATACTGGTGTGGATAGATGACAACAAGGGCCACATGCATCCCCTAGGGTGCCCAATGCAAAACCCCTAGGACTTAGACACAGCTCAGGTAAAGCATGAGGAAACCAACTTAACTGAAACTACTTTTTTTTTCTTTCTTTAACTGAAATTACATTTTTCCAGCCCAGATATCAGGGGCTCACAGTAGAAATGAAATTGAATTAAGGACGAGTAAAGCTACTACTATACAACTGCTTCTAGTTTAAGATTAGTTTCAGCTATTTGTGGAACTCGTCCAGGGTGTCTTAGAATTCTCGGGTAGCCCGTATCTGCTTAAGGATTGAATACTAACCCTAGACTAGGATTAGAGCTAAGTCATCCTGACACAAAGGCCATAATCTAGCTGGAAATATGGTATATTGAGCTGATGGGACCCCTAAGAGGTCTCTGTTGATTTCAGAAATGTTAGTAGATAGTGATGAGACCAAGCATGCAAGAGTCCTACAGAATGATTAAACTCCCTAGACAGACACAGGGTGACTGATAAAAGAGGGTGAAGGTGAAGAATAAGGCAAAGAAAAAACAAACAAACAAACAAAGACAAAAAAGAGGGTGAAGTCACCCTTGTTAGAGTTTGCATTCATGATCAAATTTCCTAAATCAAAGATGAATAAGGTCATTGTTATGGCTGTATTGTAACCCCTCCCTAAAATGATATGTTGAAGTCCTAACCAGCAGTACCTCAGAATGTGACCTTATTTGGAAAGAGGGTCATTGCAGATCTATTTAGTTAGTATGAGGTCATACTGGATTATGGTGGGCCCCTAACCCAATATGGCTGATGTTCTTATAAAAAGACGTCCATGTGAAAATTCAGGGACACACAGGAAGAATGCAATATGATGACAGAGGCTGAGACTGAAGTTATATGACTGTAGGCCAAGGAATGCCAAGGATTGCTAATAAGACCAGAAGCTAAGAGCAAGGCATGGAATAGATTCTTTCCTAGATTCTTCCCATGATCCTGCCGACTTCTTGATTTTGGACTTCTGGCCACCAAAACTGTGAGAGAATACATTTCTGTTGTTGTAAGAACCCAGTTTGTAGTACTTTCTTGCAGCAGCCCTAGGAAATTAAGTAATTATAATGCCCTTGTCTTAGGGTGAATTTCTAAAAGCCTAAGCCTCTTTTGAAGAAAGGAAGAGTAATTTCAATGGCAGTAACCCAAGTTGCCAAAGCAGAGAAATCCTCAAAACCCTTCCAAAACTGGCATACCTCTGCAGCCATATTAGTGTCTGGATTAGCCATTTCAGAGGGAAAATAAACTATTCTCAATAATTTTGACTTCGTGGAAAGGGTTGTTTAACTATAGATATATTATGTTTTTACATTTGACTATCCTTAGGCATAATTTTTTAAATGATAAAAAAATAAAACATATCTTCGAAGCCAAGTTTGCATAAACAAATAAAAAACTGGCACACCTTTCATCTGCTATAAAAATGGTGACCTGGATATGTGGGGAGAAAGTGAGTTTTGGAGGATGAGGTTGGTCTCTACAGCACTGTCCAGCTCCCAGCAGCCGGGGGAAGAATTATTTAATTATTAAGGACCTAAATAGCACTGCTAAGACTTTCAGGCAATGCAAGCATTTCTTACTACGACAATGATGACGATGACAATGACAACAATAACGTGGTAAAAATGGACAACTCTTAAATTCACAGAGAGAACCTACAGTTATTAACGCAGAAGCTAAGTCAGACCTTGGGGAGAACAATGTCTCAGAGGCCAGAAAATAACCAGAGAGTATCCTGAATATCTAGTTTGGTTGGTACCCATGTTCCCTCCTTGGTAGTTAGCCAAGGCCATGAAACTGCCCTATATTGTTTGAAAAAAAAGATGGCAGATGGCATGGCTGAAACATTAGGCTCCTGCTGCCTTTAAATTGAACCGATGCCTCCACCTTTCCTTCTAGCTGTACGAGACCAATCAGTGGATTTACGCAGTCCAAGGAAGGCCACATCCTTGGGAAGTGGGGCAAATGGAACCAGTAGGAAGACTCTTCAGGAGATAACAAAGAGGTACCATCCACATGGATGCAGGTGAGCATATCACCTTGAATCCCAGTTTACCCAAGAACCCAAGGAACCTAGAGGGAATGTGCTATTAGTTAACTCTTGCTGCATAACAAATTACTCCAAAAATTAGTGTCTTACAATGACAAAAAACATCTATTATCTCATGGAGTTATTGTGGGTCAGGAATTCTGGAGTGGCTTAGCTGGGTGGTTCTGGTTAGGGCCCTTATTAGGTTACAGACAAGATGTCAGTTGGGGCTGCAGTCGTCTGAAGACTTGACTGGGGCTGGCAAGTCAGTGCTGGCTGTTGGCAGGAGGCCTCAGTTCCTTGCCTCATGGGTCTCTCCACAGAGCTGCTTGAATGTCCTCATGACAAGACCGATTGATTCAAGAAGGAGCCAGATAGAAACTGTAATACCGTTCAAGATCACATCTTGGAAGTCTCAGGTCCTCACTTCTGCCATGTTCTTTTCATTAGAAGCAAGTCATTGAATGTGGCCCACACTAAAGAGGAGCGGAATTTAGGCACTATTTTTTTTAAGGAAGACATGTCAAATAATGAGTAGATATTTTTTAAAACCACCACAGGTAGTATCATGAACATAGCCCTGAATTGCTTTGTTAGAGGGTGTTCTTGTCTTGTGGAATCTAATTTGGGGTAAATACCCAGGTCCCATCATCATGAAGGTCAGGGACTTTTAGATGAGAAGTAATTTTCTTCGCAATTATGCCCTAAAACACAATCATGACCAATGAGAAAAACACAGAAATCTCCTGGGGGGTGTTTTGGGAAAGTTTCTGGGGTGTTTCTTTTTTTAGTTTTTTTTTTTTTTTGCCCTTCCCTTTCTTCCTGCCTCAAACATAGGTGTGATGCCTGGAGCTGCAAAAGCTATCTTGCTAACATGACTAAAAGGTCAAGAGTTATCAGCCCTGACTTCACTGAACCAGTACTAACCTACCTGTGCCTGGACATCTGATTATGTAAGAGAAACAACTCTATTACTTAAGCCACTGGTATTCAAGTTTTCTGTTATTGACAGCCCAAACCATTCCCAACTAATGTCAATAACATAGTAGAAAACAGGAAAAAGGAGTCAATTCTTAGCGGTTGAATTTTAAAACCTAGCCTTTAAGATGGTAAACAAAAACAGAAACAACCTCAGGATATGGGCAATAAATTTGGGAGATTGATAACTAGTAAGCAGGCTACCCAACCCCTAGACTCCATAAAATTTCCCTGGTCTGGAAATAAAAGTTAAATTCTGCTATGGAAAAATAAAACGTTATTTCTTATTATATGAGTTTATGCACCAAGATTTATATTTACTATAGGTAACTCGCATTTGATTAAAAATGTTATTCCTTTCTTACCCTTTAATGTCTTACTATTGCTCTAAACAGTCCTCATGGTCATTCTCTGAAAATTCACTTTTCTTCTAGACTTCTTGCAGAAATCACAATTCTTTCTCCTCCCAAGCTTGAAGTCTTGAGGTTGTCCTTCTCTTTTCCCTCTTCTTCATCTCTTATGTCTGATCTGTTTTTTTTTTCTTTTTAAAGATTTTTATTGGGGAATTTGGGGAGGGGAACAGCGCTGGGTAATCGGGGAAGGGGAACAGACAAGTTGCTGTCCTTTTTGTTCTTCTAGTTGTGGAGGACGTTGCTTCACTGGCCCAAGTTGGCATCATCATTGAGCTCCTCCTGGGCGAGGCAGATCAGTCACCGGCTTCTGGATGGCCGTTCACAGAGGCTGCTGGTTGCTCACGCTGGCTGCTGGCCACTCACGCTGGCTGCTGGCTACACACAGTAGCCCATGGCAACCCACTGCAGCAGGGGCTGCAGCCTACGCCACAGCCTACGCCGTCGCCAGCGACTCATGGCAGCCCAGCTCCAGGTTGAGCTGTTGTTCAGCATCTGAGCTGTTGTTCAGCATCTTAGCTGTAGAGGGCAGTGTCACTGGCTCTCATATGTGGGATCTGAACCAAGGCCCTCTGGCGTCCCAAGCCAGCTCTTAACCAACGTGCCACTAGGCCAGCCCCTGATCTGTTATTTCTTGATGTTTCTTTCTCTCTCCCTCTCACTTCCTTCTCCCTCTCTTCCACTCTTCCCTTCCCTTTTTCTCCAGTTGCCTTCCTCTCTCCCTTTCTCCACCCCTCATCTCCCTCCCTCTTTTCTTCTTGAAGCCTTCCACTTTTGGGACTGTGGACAGCTTTAGTACATCAATTCCTCACCACAGTGTAGCTGCAGCTGCAGCAACGTTGATCTGTGCAGGGAGGTATTTGGATAGACTGTCCCACAGAAAACAACTAAATTGCTAGATACTATTTTAAAACAAACAAAACTTCTTAAAACAATCAAAGACATGACAAGACAGTAAAGAATTATTGGGCCAAAGTCAAAGAGAATGTGGAATTTCTGAATGGAAAGGGAGCTCTAAAGTCTCCCCTGTTTGAAAGAACAGGCCAAATCTGACAAACTTGAGCAACAATTTTCACGGCCTCATGGGGTGTGGAGTAAAGAAGTCAAAGTCCAGGGCCACAGAGGGTGGGGAGTTGAAATAGTTTGCTAGGCCTGCCATTTCAAAAAAGAGGTTATTGAAAGTTACCTCACAGGGTGATCTGACAGTAAAGTCCTAACTGGGCAGGTCATGATGGGCAGTCATGCCCCAGACCTTTAACTTCTTTAGTGAAAGGTTTTCAGCCAGCCTTGTCCATTGTTTTTGTGCATCTTGGGGTTAACACACCTTTGAAATGCCAAAAGTAATACCCCTTGAAGGGGGTATTAATTCTCAAGAGAGGGCATAACTATCCTATAATCCAATCTGCGCCTTGCTTTCTCCAGTCTTCCTTATGTCCCCTCCTTAATTTCAAGTGCATAAAAGAAGTTGCAAAACTTATTCTCCAGAGCATTTGAGATCTTGCTCCTTGGTATATGTCATCAGTTTGGCTCAAATAAATTCATAAAAATTCTCTATATGTCTAGATGTTCTTACATCAACAGATGGGGTAAACATCAGAAATTAATTTTTTCCACAGTTCTGGAAGCTAGGAGTCCAAGATCAAAGCGTTGGCAGGCTTGGTTTAATTCTGTGCATGGTATCCCTTTTATATCCCCATTTCCTCTTCTTCTTTTTATCCCCTAAGATTTTATCGGGGAATTGGGGGAGGGAACAGCATTGTGGAATCAGGGAAGGGGAACAGACAAGTTGCTGTCCTTTTGTTCTTCAGTCTAGTTGTGGAGGACGTCACTTCACTGGCCCATGTTGGTATTGTGATCATTGCGCTCTTCCTGGCTGTGGCAGATCAGTTGCCAGCCATTGGATGGATGCTCTCGGCGGCTCATGGCAGCTCACGCTGGCTGACGGCCACTCACGGTAGCTTATGGCAGCCACTCACGGTAGCTTATGGCAGTCCACTGCCCCCTAACTGCAGCCTACGCTGTCCACGGCAACTAATGGCAGCTCAGCTCCAGGTCGAGCTGTTGTTCACCATCTTAGCTGTAGAAGGCACAGTGTCACTGGCCCATGTGAGATCTGAACCAGTGGCCCTGCTGCTCAGAGCCTGCGCTCCCAAGCCAACTCTTAACCAATGAGCCACTTGACCGGCCCCCCATTTCCTTTTATAAAGACACCAGTCAGATTGAACTACAGCCTGCCCTAAAGGCTTAGTTTTAACTTAATCACCCGTTTAAAGGCCCCATCTCAAAATATATTCACATTTTAAGGTTCTAGGGGTTGGAGCTTCAACATAGGAATTTGGAGGTGGACACAATTTGGCCCACAAAAGGAGTATAATGTGAAACATTCCCCATAACACTAAGACCCTTCTGGTAAGAGAACCATAAGTAAATAACCCTTCCGTGCTCTATCACCAAGGGGCTGCATGGAAGGTTGCCTTAGTGATGGGTAATGGGGAGTGGGGGCTGTCTCTGAGAAGCTGTAGCTCCAGGCCATCTCTAACATGTTGATCTGAAGCCCAAATTCATTTTGCCTGTGTTTATCAAAAAGCCTCCAGTAATAAGTTTAATTTAAATTGGTCTCAGTATGATAATGCCCCTAAATGGTTGTCAGGAACAAAGGCAAATACCCTCTAAAGAAATGTGACTTCATTTTAGACCTCAAAGAATTCCTATAAATAATTTTGCAAAAAATAAGCACCTCACAGTAAAAAAATAAACTAAGCACACACACAGAAACCTAGGCACTGTGTATAAGAAGTGGTATAAACAACAGACAAAATGAACAGGTGTGCAAAGACTTAAGGTATTGGAATTATCAGACATGGTTTAAAAATAATTATGATTATCATGTTTAAAGAAATAAAATATTAGCTTTAAAGCATCTGCAATGAACATCAAATTGTTTTTTAAAAGTAGCTAACCATATTTGAAATGTAAGTAGAACTTACAGGAATAAAAATACAATAATTAAAATTTTTCATGGGCCGACTGAGTGGCACATTGGTTGGGAGTTGGCTTGGGACACCAGCTCTGAGCGGCGGGGCCCCGGTTCGGATCCCACATATGAGGGCCAGTGACACTGCGCCCTCTACAGCTGGGATGGTGAATGGCAGCTCGACCTACAGCTGGGCTGCCGTGAGTCGCCAGCAATGGCATAGGCTGCAGTGGGGCTGGCCAGCAGCTGGCATGAGCTGCTGTGAGCGGTGTCCCAATGGCCGGCGAGCGACTGACTCACCCGGGAAGAGCGCAATGGTAGTGCCAACATGGGCCAATGAAGCGATGTCCTCCACAGCTGGTCTGAGGAGCAGGAGGATAGCAGCTTGTCTGTTCCCCTCCCCCAATTCCCCAATAAAATCTTAAAAAAAAAAAAATGTCCAGCTATTTTCATACAAGCTTTAAACATACAGAATAGTTGAAAGAACAATATAATAAACACCTGTAGACTACTACCTAGCTTACATTTGACAATTGTTAACATTTTATCCTAGCTATAGTGTATATATTTATATATATATATATATATGTTTTTAATTTTCCAAACCATTTAAGAGTAAGTTGCAGATACCATATTTTACCCCTAAATATGTTAGAATGCATCTCTGAGAAAATAAGAACACTTTTCATAACCACGATGTCATTATCACATCTAAGAAAATTAATAATTTTGCTAATGTCATCTCATATTGAGTCCATATTAAAATTTTCAGTTTGCCCAAAAGTCTTTTTTTTTAATTTTATTTTATTGGGGAATTGGGGGAGGGGAACAGCACTGGGGAATCAGGAAAAGGGAACAGACAAGTTGCTGTCCTTTTGTTCTTCAGTCTAGTTGTGGAGGACGTCGCTTCACTGGCCCATGTTCGTATTATCATTGCATTCTTCCCAGGTGAGGCAATCAGTCGCCCTCCACTGGACTGACGCTCACAGCGGCTCATGGCAGCTCATGTCAGCTGCCAGCCACTTACGCTGGCTGCCAGCCACTCACGGTAGCTCATGGCAGCCCATGGCAACCCACTGCAGCCTGGCTTCAGCCTATGCGGTCACCAGCGGTCACCGGCGCTCACGGCAGCCCAGTTCCAGGTTGAGCTGTTGTTCACCATCTTAGCTGTAGAGGGTGCAGCAGTCACTGGCTCTCATGTGGGATCCGGCACTCCCAAGCCAACTCTTTTTTTTATTTTTTATTGTTAGTTTCAGGTGTACAGAACAATGCAATAGTTACCCTTTTCACCCTCACAAAGTAACAACCCCCCTCCCC